GCAAGGTGCTGGCGATGCAAAAACCTACCTGACCAGTCACCGCGCGTTTTATCAGGAAGAGCTGGAAGCTTGCTGACTATGTATGCATTTGTACTTGTCTAGATGGGATGGTCAGCTTGGGGCGTGAAGAGAACAATAGTCTGGTCCTTACCAAAACAAGACTGCCATCGCCTTTGTTGGCAGCACGGTCGCCATGCTTGGCCTTTTTGGCACGGACATTCAATTCCTTGCGCAGGACGGGGCTGAGGCTCTCGGCGGGCTCGATGTTGTTGTTTTTCGTAGGCAGAGTCGCGACCTTGTCGGTCTTGACCTCGATCATCTCCTGCTGCTGCTGCGGGACGTCAGGATTGACAAAAGTCTGCTCCGTCAACGGGATCCGCGGTCGCTTCGCCTTTGGCTGCTGTGCGAGATTCTCAGAGCTCAAGGGGCGCTGGCGGCGGCGTGAACGAGTCGCCGTCGCCGGGCCACCTTCGGCGACAGACGGGGAAAACATTTTGGGCGGATCGCGAACGGGTCTTCGTCTATAGGTGAGTATCGATGTCGTGAGAGGAGGATGTCGCGGACGAGTGCGGCGTCGATGAAGATGGCGATGGAATCAGCCTCGTGATCATAGAGGCATTTCGCCGCGTGAGGATGACCGTGACAAGGACCGTGATCGTTAGGTTGTGAGCGGTGACTTTGAATGATGGGGAGCTAAAAAGTCGATGGAAAACTGGGATGAGCCTGAAAAGGCACTGAAGTGACGAAGCGTGCACCAGGAGCCAATCGAATAGCAACCCAGTACGGGGGTGAGGACAGGGCGGTCGCCTAGCTACAGTGAGGTCTGGCGCGTTCTGATTGGCCGGAAGTGGTCTTGGGTGCCTCCTAGGGAGGTGCTAGAGATGCTGCGCTGAGCTGGCATTGCCTGGAAGCCCCTTGAAAGCTCCCGTTGCTCAGTCGCGCACGTACCAACCAGAGCCGGTATCTTTCAGCCTCTGCCCCACCCCAGATCGCGTGGTGAAGAGCCTCTGTGCGGAGGTACCTCTGAGCTTGCGGTACCTTGCCTTAGTCGGAGCTGAGGCTGGGTAAGGCTTCTTGTTGACAGATCCCTGCGTACTTTCGGCTCATCGATACCTCAAGTCAGCAACCGACAAGCCGTCAGCGATTGATTCATCAAATGTATTCACTTGAGATCGAGAGTCAACTCTTGTTAGGCATTAGCTTGACTAGGCAGGTAGCTATTTTCTTTCTTTTCAGACTTGTTATTTCTAGGTAGGGCAGGTTGAATTCTTTCTCTATGACTGCCCAGGACCCGGATTAATTGTCCGACCTTGGCCTAGACACAATCTATGATGTATTCCGCCGCATTCAAGATCTGATAACCTCGGGCCTATATTTCACGATATCAGCCAGTTACAACGCTTGACGCTTCATTCGCTTAACAACTTCAAGTCGACAACACCCATCAACGCCCAATCTCCTTCTTGATTCATCACCAATTGAATTGACTCACCGTCCTCTTGTTCCTGATTTCCCAATCCGGATCTAACCGATCACGTTTTCGGAGGGGGTTCCGGGCCCCCCAAGCCATGTCTACCTTGGCCAGCCAAACCGCAGATCAAATAACTCACCTCTGACAAAAGCGGCCTTGAAACATGAGGCGATTCTCGACCGCCGTCGTCATCACTGATCCGCTGGTCAAGTATCAGACTCGCGTGGCGGCTGGTCTCTATGCTCCGGACCCGGCCCAGCATCGTCTCGCCTGGCACTTACAAAAGATCTACCACCGCATCAAGGACTATTCACCCCAGGCTGAGTATCGTCAGAGGCTAAGAGAGGTGGCTCGTCTCACTGAGCCGGAAAACAACCAAGATGAAGACGATGGCAACATTCTCGCGCTGCGGAATCACTCAATATGGCGCAACCCGCTCTTCAAACATCTCCTAACAACACCAGAAGGAAGAGAGAGCCTGGCGTTGACTCGGGTTCTAACCAACCATGAGACCGCTATTGAGATTGACTCTCCAAAGGGGTTGTTTCTGTCGGGCGAAGTAGGCACTGGAAAGTCGATGCTTCTCGACTTGCTTGCCGATGGCCTCCCCACGGAGCGAAAGCGGAGATGGCACTTCAACACTTTTATGCTTTACATCATTTCGCAGCTCGAACACCATCGGAAATCACATTTTGGAAATAAAAATAGCGAGAGCGATTATTCCATTTTATGGGTAGCCAAGAAACTCGTTGACGAATCCCCCATCCTGTTCCTCGACGAGTTTCAACTCCCAGACAGGGCCGCCAGCAAGATCCTCAACCACCTATTTATTGCATTTTTCCAGCTCGGTGGCGTCCTCATCGCATCTTCAAACCGAATGCCGGAAGAGCTTCAGAACGCTACTGGTGTTGACTACACACCTGCCCCGTCAAAGGGCCTCATCCGCAAGTTCTTCGGGGCTTCAGTCAGGGCCCGGGGCGAGCTGTATGGGTCAACCAGCGACTTTGCCAACTTCCTCGAGGTATTGAAGGCGAGATGTGATTTTTGGCAGATGGAGGGGGCTCGAGACTGGCGGAGGAGAGAGGAGACTGAAGCGCCTGTGACTTTGACCGGAGATGCCATCGAGGGGGAACCGGCAACAGTGGAGGAGGTCGTTCAAGACAAACCTGACCAAGCCATCAAGAAACCAGTCAACTACTACCTGTCGACAGATGAAGATGGTTCTTGGCAGACGCGGATACAAGCAGCACTTACATGGTCTGGACCTGAGCCATTGCCCTGGGAGCCATCGAGCGTGGTCGTGTACGGCAGAGAGATCAAGACTCCCCAGCATTACAACGGATATGTATACTGGGATTTTGAGAGACTTGCTGAGTCCTTTGGGCCTGCCGACTACATCACAATGGCTTCCACATACCACACATTCATCATCGACAACGTTCCGATTCTGACACACGAGAAAAAGAACGAAGCCAGGCGGTTCATCACACTCTTGGATGCCTTGTACGAGGCTCGGTGTAAGCTAATCATCAGGGCTCGGAACCCGCCAGACACTCTATTCTTCCCCAAGAAGAAAAGCTCAAAATCTGGCAAAACTGGGGACTCTGATGAGCCTGATGATCTTTACTCTGAGACCATTGCCGAAGTCTACCAGGACCAGATGTCTCCCTTCCGACCCAACGTCGCTTACTACGATACCAAGTCAAGCACATCATCCTACGACCCAGATCAAGACTCGGACTTTGGTCTACAGAAGAAACCAGTCAATTTTAGCAACACGAGCGCCTTTACCGGAGAAGACGAACGCTTCGCATATAAGCGCGCCATCTCTCGACTCTGGGAGTTGTGCAGCGCACAGTGGCATGCCAGGACGGGAGAATGGTGGCAGCCTCTCCCCGTCGACGCTCGGCACTGGGAAGGCGGTCCTGTCTCTCAGCGCATTGAACACCAGATTGGTGCCAGCAGGCTCAGCATGGGTGAGGGAATGGGGGAGAGCTTGGAGGTTGACGAGATGGCTGGGTTGTCGAAATGGAGCGTGGAGCAGTTAAAGACTAAGAACGACAAGAGCCCGTAGAACGACTCAACGTCTCATAGTCTAAGGGCGTATATGAGAGAAGCAGGCGGACATATGACAGACATATATAATGCAAGGTAAGCAAGAAAAGCAACAGAGATGTATAAAGAGCTCTCAAAGTAATATACTGCCCACACATGCATGATGATCTCTAGGTAGTCTATGACCGGATATCCCACCATGGTATACTCCAAACGCCATGCCCCCCCATTGTATTTGTGGTCTACTCATACACCGTCTCAACGTCGACTTAGAGACTCGTCACGCCGGGTGTCCAGCCTTCTCCTATCCTCTTCATGTCCTCTGCAAACTTGCGACTCGTAATCTTCCTGCCCCCTCGTCCACCTAGGGGCGCGTGCTCGTCCGGATCGTAGAAGGGGTTCTGAAGCAGACGTACGTAGGCGCTCTGCATGGCGCGGAAGACGGGCTTGAGCTCGGCGTCGCGCAGGCCAGCTGCCGCGGCACCCCGTGAGGCTGCGGCTACGGGTGCGCTCCCATCGACGCGGCGGCCGCGCATGTCGACAACGCACACCATCCGGACGCCGGTGTTGGTCTCGAAGCCGTAGGCGGCGAGGCGGTCGTCGACGGCGTGCAGCAGGCCAAAGTCGCCCGAGAGGCCGACGCCCGATACGGCATTGTTGCGGGCGCGCAGGTCAAAGACGTCGATGGTGGACGAGAGGAGGAGAGAGAACTGTAGCGGGGTGCGGATCGGGGTAAAGTTGTTCGTAGCCGGGTCGTGCGAGGGGAAGATGGAGATGTGGAGGGGGTTATTCTGAGAGAAACGAGGTCAGTTCGACAATGTCTATCTGCTTCTAGGAAGATCTCTCACATTGCGGCCGATGACGCCGAGGCAGGCGATTGAAGGTATCGCGGTAGACATGGTTGCGGGGGTGCAAAGTCGGAGGTCGGATGTTGAAGCTTGAGAGTTGGAGCTTGCTTCGCTTGGTGTGAAGCTGGCAGCTTTAGTTGGTGATGTCCATGTCCATGTTCCATGGCTCGTCTATGCGCAACCCCACTTACACATGCTCGGCCACCGATGGACGCAAATAGATTTACCGTTTGCGAGATGTTTCTTATTATTTTGCGTATGTAGGTATTTACTTGGTATCTAAATTCCAAAATCTGAAGTCGGAAATGTCTCTGTTTAGCTCCCTTGGAGGGCTGACCCTCATACATCACTACCCGTAACCATGACTATGACCACCACCATGACCATGAGTCTCTGCCTCAATAATTGGAGGATAATCTGATCCATAAAGATGCTATAAAAGTGCTTCGTCAATGATCCCGCCAGTTGCGTATTTTGCACGCAGCCTTTCCCTTAGGTCGTACACCCAGAAACCAACCCCCAAAATCATGCCAAAGCCTCCCGTTGTTCGGGCCCGGTCCCAATACTTGATGAAAACGCTCCAGACTCGTACACGATCCCCGGACGTTTTGCTTTACACGTCCTTTTTACTCTGAATATTCGTCATCTTCCATGATGCCAGCAGTGTCTTCTAATCCCTTTAGAACCTCTTCTACATCTGAAGGGTCTGTAATCGCCCATACGCCTCCTCCCTTTACTAGATCTTTGCCGCGCATGCCCACCTCCTTTCCGACGAGGTTGCGTCCGACCTTGCCAGGCCCCACGCCTACCCAGCGTCGAATCCGACCCTCTTGATCGAGGTACCTGATGCTCTCCCACCAACGCACTGTGTCGAGGCAGCCTCGAGCTAGCAAATCCTTGAAGTCGGCCTTACAGCATACGGGCCGCGCAGACACATTGCTCACTATCGGAAGCTGGCCAGGAAATGTCACCATGTCCTCATTCTCGCGACCCTTGACCCGGCTACCCTCGTTGAGCAGGTTTCGCATCACGGTTACGGCCGGCTTCATGATCGGACTGTGGAAGGGGCTGTCGGCCTTGAGGCGGACGGCGCGGGGATCGTAACCCAAAAACTGGCGGAGGTGGGCGATGAGGGTCTTGATGCGCTCGATGTTGCCGCTCAAGACAATCTGGTTCTTGCTGTTGATGTTTGCAATCAGCACCTGCTCGATGGGCGGCACATCGTCCATGTCCTCGGCTGAGACGCCGACAAACTGGCGAATAGCCTTGATGAGGTTTTCCATGTGCTCTGGGTGCGAAATAACGGCCACCATGCCGTACTCGCCGCCGTACTGCTCGATGGCCTGACGCGTCGCCTCCGACATAGCCTCGGCCCGCTTGCGCACCAGGTGCAGGCTGTCCTGGAAGGAAATGTACCCGCCGGCAACGACAGCGGCGAATTCACCGAGGGAGTGGCCCAGTGTGACGTCGAAGTGGTCCGTGACCTTGAAGCCGAACTCGCGCTCGAGGATGCGGAGGATGAAGATGGAGGTGGCCATGATGGCGGGCTGGGCGTTGGGGGTCTCGGTGAGGAGCTTGGAGGGCCCGTACTGGATGATGTCGGAGAGCTTGTAGCCCATATACTCGTCGATCTCATCACGGAGCTGCGAAGCCGTCGAGGGGAACGCCTCGAGCCATGGCGTTAGCATGCCCACCCGCTGAACTCCCTGGCCTGGAAAGAAGAGGGCGGTCCTGGTGCCGCCTCGATGTGTAGACCTCCATCTCCGTGGTTGCGGCTGTCGCAGTAGCTGCTGTGATAGTAGCGACGGTCTCGTGCCTGTGAGAGGGCGACGGCACCGCATCGAAGTCGTCGCGAGCCGTTCCATGGCCGTCTAACGGCGTTGGGGACGGCGGGTTAGAGGTCAAGACGCACGGGTTGACGCTCTCATTCTGGGGAAGCCCGCCGTCGTGATCCAATTCCCTAAGCGGATGGGGAATGGGAAAAGAAAGGAGGAGGGAAGAGGAAAAGGCAAGTCACGAGAGAGCCCGCTCAACAAAAGGGATTGGAAACCGAAACCCTGGGTCTGGGGTTCCGGGACCTTCCAGTTTGCGTGACGTCGGGGTCACTTACAAGTTGCACTCGCGCGCCACTAACAGCAACAGACAGAAGGAGCACTCTCGGCATTGGGGGTGAGCAGGCAGGGGGGACTGAGGGGTGCTCCTCTCTCTTTTCGGATCCTCTCTTCAACCCCCAAAATGGAACCTCGTTGACCTCATGGAATTCATCGGAATCGGGGGCCCGGTCGGGTCCCTTTTGTCCAGCAGCATGTTCTGCAACGCACGGCGTCCAATAGCAAAGCCAGCGCAAGCCGCAAGCCGTTGACGCACCTCGAGGCAGTTTCCCCCCGGCCGCTCGAGACGCACCAGCAGCGGCAGCAGCAAGCGGTCGGGATGTCTTGCCCCACACTTAGAGCCGATGCCCCGACCTCGTGCGGCTTCGGATCTCCGTCGCTCCTTGGCGCCTCCTCCGAGATCCATTTCCACGGCGCGCCATGGGCCAACGGCTGTTTAACATTATGTGAACGAATCTACCATGGCTGCTTTTTGCTTTGCTGGCATTGGGTCACTCCTTTTCTTCCGTCTTCCTCGGAGACTAGTCCGTTCTGTTCATGCAGCATGGGGGGCATTCTGCTTTCTTTTTGTCTCGTGCTCATGACACCCTCTCTAGGTGCCGCCATTGGCCCGCATCCGCTTGTCTCTACCGGCGGCGCTCTCCTCAACATCATGAGCCCATCTCATGCCATGTCATGCTCCACGACGCCGATGCTCCTCCGTCCCGTCTGCTGCCGCCTGCAACACCGCCACCTAGCACCGGATCTCCACTCCTCCCTTGCTCACTGTCAAGTACTTGACCCCCTTGTAGGGTTTGACGCTCTCTCCCAGTCCCCTACTCTTGCGCGTGTCTAGAAGGATGCTCTCTACCTTCAATCCACTCGCCAACCATCCCTTGACGGAAAAGCTTGCTGATGCCGATGTTGGCATCAGGATCTTGTTCTGTGCAATCTTCTTGACGTCCCTATCATCGCTGGCGCCCTCCTTGTCCTTCGCTGTCTTGGCCACCGGCACACTCTGGTAAGGTCCGTCAAACGTGTAATCAGTCCCAAAGCCAAAACCGTTGGGGTCGAATCCGTCCTCATCCTCGCCTGTGATCGGCCCCACGACGGTACACCGGAGCCCGAAGTAGCACGTCCCTCCCGAGAGCTCCTTTGCGGGGATGTGCCACTCCAGGAACTTCTCTCCCGGGTTGAAGCTAGCGTCGCCCTTGCTAGGTCGAATTTCCGACAAGTTCCTAACGTCTGTCGGTAATGGGATCGTGACGGTGAGATCGTCAATCAGCGGCGCTCCTGGTGATCCTGGATGTGGTCCTCCCAGTCGGCCACCACTTCCGCCTCTTCCAAATTGACCCGATGAGGACGGAGAAGGCGCGCCGAGGATCTTGTTGACTTGTAACCTAACTTCGAAATCGGATCCTGTAGCCCCGAGCCCAGTCTTTACCTCCATATTGACTGGGAGTTTGAGGTTATTAGAGCTCAGACTTCCGCTCTTCCCACTCGTAAAGGGTAGCAAGTCCACCTCGTAGCCCGCCAGGATAAATCGTCCGTCAGGTGGGATAAAGCTCAGCTCTCCTGGCCTCTCCTTCCATCGGTTCAGCCGTACGCAAGGGTGAAAGACTGGTAACTCCATGATGCCCCCGAGATTGTGCTTTCCAGACGGGCTCGTCAGGGTCAGTGTGATATCCGGGACGCCTGACACCTTTGATGTAAAAGCAATAGTGCCATTGGCAAAGGCGGCCAGTGGCCTTCCTGAGGGTGCGAGCGTAACGGACAGGGTCTCAACGACATCGGCATACATCTCGTTGGACGTATGTCGCACATTCGCTCGTCTCCATGGCAGGGCGGGAGTATTCGAAGGGATCACGGATGGGGAACTCGAGTTTGAGAAGTTGGCGCTCAGAGGCGCTTTTCTAGTAGCTTGTCAGTGTTGGGTTCTCCTTGACGTAGATTTGGCACACGAACCCAGGGAGGTTGATGCTTCCTAGTAGTTTACCAACCCATCCCTCCTGTTCCACAACTTCTCGCAAGGCATTGGGCTCTGTCGTGCTAATAGTGCCAGAGTCGCACATCTCAGTTAATATCTGGGCGACTATGTCATAGTTATTCTCGATCTTGACGGCCAGAAGCGGCGCGCCAAGGAAGTCCTCGAAGGCATCGATTACGCGGTGTAGAAACTCGAAGACGAGGAGCGGCTCGATCTCGGTCGACGATGTGGCGAGGAACAGGAGGTTCGCATGGTCCAGACTAAATACGAGGGTCGGAGGGCTTGTGTTGGCTAGGTAGATGAGATTCGGCCGCGGTGAGGGATGTTCTAGGTAGAGGGGTAGAAGATGGGTTGCCGAGAGCGGCCTCCCTGCGTAGGTATGAGATAGGATAGGATTACTGGACAGGGTTAGCTAGAAGGATAAAAGCGAGGCTGTAGAAGACATACCGGTTGTCATCGTAAATGTGCAGCGCCTCAATAACGCCGTTCATGGTGTCGACCAACACCTCCCTCAGGCGTGGGCTGGCACGATAAGCATGAGCTAGAGCTACTGATGTTGGGTGTGTTTGCGCCAGCGCGGGACGAGCAATGACGAAACTGGATGGGACACTGGATGGGACCCTGGCCCTGGATTACTCAGCCATCGGAAAGTCGAATCGTCCAATCAACGTTGCTCATCACGCGACTCTCAAAAGTTGAAGCTTGTGATAACTTCCATCGCCAAATCCAAACCCCCCTCGATTTCAACAACAAATCCTCCAAAATGGCAGGGGACGACAAGATTCCGACGGTCCAGGCTCTGGAGAGGCCGGAGAAGCTCGAGGACATCCTGCGCCAGGATCGAGGCGACGACTGCCTACCCTGCAAAGTCATTGGTCAGTTCTTTGCCATCGGCCCTCACGCCCCGACTCCTCAGCGGCCGGGACACTGGACTAACACCGTCGTAGGCAGCGGAGCGTTCTTTGGCCTCGCTGCCTACAGCTACTTCTCGGGCATGTCGCAGCTCGAGAGGCAAAAGGCCCTGATCCTCCAGAGCAAGTCCCCCTTTGGCTTGAGGAGCCGGAAGCTCGGCATCACCACCATCTCTCTCGGTCTCGTGTGGATGGGACTGTGGAGGGCGCTCAAGTGATGTTGAAACGATATCGAAACGACACGAAACGAACTCTACTCCGTCTGAATTAGCATGTATATTATGTCTGGCATCACTGCGATCAGCTCTCAGCGGTATTCTCTCGACCTCATGGGCCATTAGTAACCAGAAACTGGTGCTGGCCGAGATTTTCGATGTATCAAAAGCATTTTCTGGTTGCATGGAAGGCGTTCAGAGGTGTGGGCTTGAACGGTCTGAGGAGGTGTGGTGTCGTAGTTCATTTACTGTGAACCATAAAGCTACCAATACTCGACCATTTGATCTTGAGAAAACACCACCTTTCCCAAGTAAACACTAGTTTTAGCTCGTATATGAATGTTCTAGAAACCTCTGTATGGCGATGGCTGATAGGTTGCAAAGCCTCTCTGTGATTTTAGTAGTAGTGAGATGAGACGTCAGAAATGAATGAGGATATGGCGGATGCCGATCATAGGGAGAGTGTAGAAACGCGCATAAGCAAAGTAATGAAAAATTGTCAATTCTGATATAAGTGACAGTTCTCTATCAGTAATTAGATATTCTTTCCTGGGACATATTTACTGTTTTATGTTGTTTAAGTTGCTGGCTCTCATATGAGTGAAGCTTGTTCCAAGCCGTTCACCAAGGACTAAAATCTCGACCTGGAGGCCCCACATTGAATCTTTAACAAACTCATCAACCACCGACGACACGACAGCAACAAGTAAAATCGACGGCGGACTACACCAGGAGATAATCATCCTGTGTCTTCGATATCTGGATACTGAGAGCGTATCTTCGGCCTCTTACTGGCTAAGCGGCCAGAGCAGCTGAGCTTCAGCCTCGCAGCAGCACTCCCTCATCTCAAAAATGCCCATCACAATCCTCAAGCCTCAGCCTCCCGCGCCTCAAAGGCCACAGGCAGCGGCCAATTCAGACTCTGACTCTGACTCTGAGGGCGGCGCGGACGTTGGCGGCGATGGCATCCTCACACCAGGCAGCGTGATAACGTCGAATCCCCAGTGGATGCGGTAAGCCTTTTGCCTCCAGCTCATCTCATCTGATACTGACCTCACAAAGCGGACACGGCACCTACATCCCTTCTGGCTCATCATCAATCGCATCTTCCCTCGCTGGAACCCTCACAAAGACAAACAAGCTCCTCTCTGTGCGTCCTCTGCGCGCCCGCTACACCCCCGAGATTGGTGACCTCGTCGTCGGCCGCATCGTCGAGGTCCAGGCCAAGCGCTGGCGCGTCGACGTGGCCGCCTCCCAGCTCGCAATCCTCCAGATCTCGGCCATCAATCTCCCCGGTGGTATCCTCCGCAAGCGCACCGAGACGGATGAGCTGCAGATTCGCAGCTTCTTCGCAGAGGGTGATCTCGTCGTCGCAGAGGTTCAGCAGCTGCACCAGGACGGTGCTGCTAGTCTGCACACCCGCAGTCTCAAGTACGGCAAGCTCCGTAACGGCGTCTTTGTCTCTGTCACGGGCACTGGTGGAGGCGGTGGTGTCGTCCGCGCCAAGAGGCAGGTCTGGACCATGGACGTGGCCAACGCTGGCGGCAAGGTCGACGTGCTGCTAGGTGTCAACGGGTACATCTGGATCAGCAAGCACATTGAGAGCGATACTGCCGCCGAGGCCGCGGGCATCAACCGCATGGAGGAGAGCGTCAGCAACAAGGTCTACTCGAGCCAGAATGACCACATGGAGGTGTCGACCATGCGTGAGATTGCGAGGATCCGCAGTGTCATCCTCGCTCTCGTCGAGAACGTGCTCAAGGTCGATGAAGATATGGTTACAAGGGGCTACAACGAAGCCGTGGACCTGGCAAGGGAATCTACAGACGACGACCTGTATCTAGGTGGCGACAAGGGACGCCGTCTGGCAGCAACTTTGACCCGTCACTAAAATATGTTGGACTACGAGGTGGAACAAAAGGATTAAATGCAACCAAGATACCTAGCTTTTCAACTTCTCATTCGTAGTGTCCTCCCCTGCTCGGCCAGACATCCACCAGCCTGCGTGTTATACTATAAACCTCCATGGGTAGGACAATTTGCCGCTATTATACAACGCAACTGTACAGGTACCAACAATGAACTCGACAGCCATCGGGACAGGTGTTCGCAAGAAAAAAAGTACACAGCAAAGCACTCGTTCAACATTTGCTTTACTCGGACGAATTGCAGAAAATCAGAAATCAACTAAATCACGATCGTGTGAGCAACTGGCTCACAGTGCCTTTCTTAACTTCCAGGATCGCAGCCAATGCCACGAGGATAGCCCACCTTAACAGAGCGCCCTTTGTCTTGCTCGATCCAAGGCCGCAGGTCAGGGCGAGGATATACTTGAGGCCCTTGGTCTTGTTGCCGTTGCGGTCAAAGTCGGGCTTCGGGGTGAAGGCGTTGAGTCGGTTTAGGTGTGGCCACGAGTAGGGCATGTAGCGGACACGGAGGAGGAAGTCGGCCCAATATGGTACCTGGGCGATGACGCGCTGGTGGCTGAAGGTCTTGAACGAGTAGAAGCCGTGATAGTGACCCATTCCGGACTGGCCAACTCCGCCCAAGGGGGACTGGGGGATCTGGCTGTGGAAGAAGGAGTCGTTACAGGTGGCACCTCCTGAGGTGACGTTTTCCAGAACTAGAAACGGTTAGTTGAGTATTATACTGAAGGATGAGGAGGTTCGTACCCTTGTTGTTCTCGGCATCAGACCCAAAGGTGTTGAGAGAAAGGGGTGTCGGGTCGACCTGGTTAGCAATCTGGATAGCTTGGTCGAGAGAGTCGAATGCCATGATGGAGAAGATGGGGCCAAAAGACTCCTCGACCATCATGCTATCCTCAATGTCATCAACCAGGACAGCTGTCGGCTCCATGAAGAGCTCAGACTCATCCATGGAACCGCCCAGGACGATCTTGCCCTTGGTCGAGTCGAGCATCTTCTTGAGGCGGCTGAAGTGGCCGATGTTGACGATGCGGGTGTAGTCGGGGCTGTTCTTGACGCCCTTGGGGAAGAAAGTGCGCAGTTGGCCATTAAGCTCACCGAGGAACGATGACAGAACGCTCCTCTCAACAAGGATGTAGTTGTGAGACATGCAGACCTGGCCAGCGCATAGAACCTTTTGCCAGAGCAATCGTCTAGCGGCAAGCTTGAGGTTGGCATTCTTGGTGACAAATGCCGGGTTCAGGCCACCAAGCTCCAGGAGGACGGGAGTCAAGGTCTCTGCGGCCTTCTTGGCGATGATCTTGCCAACTGTCTTGCCACCAGTGAAGGCGATCTTGTCAAACTTTTCCTCAAGAAGACGCTGAGTCTCGGGGAGAGCACCGTTGACGTAGGTGTAGCACTCTGGGTCTAGGGCATCGTCAAAGATCTTCTTGAGGGCCATGGCGCAGTTGGGAGAAGACTCTGAAGCCTTGAGGACAACACAGTTTCCAGCGGCGATGGCGCCAATGACAGCGGGGAGGTTGAGCTGAAAGGGGAAGTTGAAGGAACCAATGTTGAGGACGATTCCCAGGGGCTCATGGCGGATGCGATGCTTCATGGCACGGAACTCGAGGGGGACGTTGACGACGGGCTCGTCGCGGGCCCATTTCTGCATGTTCTTGATGGTGTCGAGACACTCCCGCTTGCACCAGTCAAGCTCAGAGACGTTTGCCTCGAACCTACACTTGCGGAGATCCTTGAGGAGGGCATCCTGCATGAGAGTGGTGTTATCGACCAGGGCCCAGTAGAGCTTGCGCAGCTGGACGAGACGGAACTCGAGAGGCTTGGTGCGGCCGGCCTTGAAGGACTTTCTGAGGCGATCGACCTTGGCAGGGATGTCCTCCAGCGGCGTGTGCTCCAGTGGAGGAATCACAGAGGTCGGGGTGTTGTCAGCCATTGCCATTGTGGTGGATAATGTTGAGATGTGGTTGGTTGAGAGGATGATTACGGCGACAGCTCAGCTGGCAGGGGCGCGCCTCGTGGGTCCGGTAAGATATAAAAGGAAAGTAACAAATAGAAAATAGAATAGGGTATACGAATAGTGAAGAATAGAAGTATCGCAAAGGAAAGAAAAGGATCGTAGGTGATGATACGAGCGTGCGTGTCTCCTAATCAAGCGGCACAGTCGGAGTCGCGTACAGTACAGTGCGCTAAACAGAAAAATTACCGAATCGAAAGGATTTTAGAACAAGCTTCCCCAGACTGACCGATCGATCGGAAACAGATAGACTTATATAATATTAAAGCCCGTCGGGGTCGCGGTGAGATTTTAGAGTAAAAAGGAGGGAAGAGAAAGATTGAGATGAGGGGTACGAGAAGCATGACACGGATGAACTCTTGTCCCCATGTTGGTCCGAAATAGTACTCCGTGCCCTTGTCCTCTTGGGTCTCATTCTAGGATGGAACCTACTTCCCGCCTCGGCAGGCGTCCACGTGTTTGAGAACATGCCGAGGCTCGGGGTCCACGGACGCCCGAGAAAGAAGATGCGACTTTTCAATTGTCGGTCTTTTTCTGATTTGGGTTGAGGTCGATGATCGTAAAGTACAGTAGTAGAGAAGAGATGTAAGATTGACAGGCTGGGGTATCCGTACAGTCAGTCATTGGCTAATCACAGCAGATGCATCACAAGCAAGACTTTGCTCCATTATACAGTTGCTACAGCATCAATGCTTGGCAATGTATTCAACATTTTATATCACCAGTAAATTAATTGCCCATATTGTAGTCAATCACTGCAGTATTAATGTGATTGGATAGATACATTGATGCAGTCAAGGTCCATCTCACTAACAGATAGCTCCGACCCGACTAATGGCCCTCTTACCCTGGTACCATCGCCCTCACATTCGATCCAGCAATCAATCAAGTTCCTTCTATGTTTAAATAGGCCTGAAAGCGGCTGCATCTGGGCAGGGAAATATTCCAGCTGCATTTACCATGAAGCAATGCGTCCATATTAATAGTCAATTACCCAAGGCAATTTGAACTGACAAGCAATAGCCCTCCCAGGACCCAGCCAAAGCAAGTTTTCACACAATAATCCCAATATTAAAGTTAATACACAAGATTTAAGTGAGTCGGGATTGCAAGAGTTTCTGGTATCGAATAGGTAACCTAGGTAATAAGTCGTTCTGTACCAACCATGGGAATAGCTTCCACCTCAGTGTGATTATGCTAACAACCAAACTTTTAAGGGCTTAGCGAGTAGCCTCTACCCTCTCAAACACAAAAACTATTACCTCGTCAATCTCAGCGCCTCTCAACCCCCTTCCTCTCCAACACCCTCGCCGCCAACTCCTCCACCACGTCCTTCACCCCATCCCCCCAAAGTGCCGACGCAACCCCAAACTTGGCCCCCAACTGCACAGCCAGCTCCCTACCCCCCTTGACGCCCTCATCCCACCCCTCCGACGCCGCGCCGTCCGCCTTGCTTGCCACGACCGCCGTGGGTGGGACGTCGGAGCCTAGGTGAGGTGCCAGGACTTCTAGCCGGATGCGCCGCAGCTCCTCAAGACCCTCGGCGGAGGATCCGGCGTACAGGAGAATTAGAGCATCAGCTTCGGATGCGATTCGTTTTGCTTCAGGTGCCGAGCGGATAAACGTCGACGGGATGCGCTCGAGATTGATGTTGGTTGGAATTCCCGAGATGAGGGCAAGGCGACTGTCGCCGGAAGATTCGGTAACGGGATCATAGAGGTCCGTGAAGACGTCCATGCAATACTGCAGATACAATGTCAGCAGCTCAGTTTCTTAGAGATTTCGAAAGGTGCCTATGTAATCTCGTCTTGTCATGTCAACTCACCCTTCGTATCAGACTCTTCTTGCCCGCGGCAGGGGCCCCCAAGATGATGATGTTGACAGTCTGTTCGGCCTTCATTATGTGTATATTTCCATCCGATTATTCCTCCACCTTTGTGAATAAGTTATCTTGTGCCAGTTTCGTAAGAATTAGGTTCGTATGGAGGGTAATAAATCATGTGCTTCACTGAGTTCATTGTCATGATGACTCTTAGTCAGCAGTTGCTCGAAAGTCAGATCATCATGAGTTCTGGTCGAAGCTTCTATTTCCCTTACTTATACGCCAGATTAACTGTTCACTTGGGTTTTGAAGTCGTGGATTCAATTCAACAATCATAAGCCATTGTCATGGGTAGTACAAGACTAGCTGGTGTCTAAATCAGGGCGGGATCGACGTGCCCAAACTCAGCTGCTTCAGTCCCCAAGTCACATCATCAATATCCAGAGTGGACCAGTCGTTACTTGTCATGGCTCAATGTACATGCATATCTTGTCAAATGCCCACTTAAACCTTACATCGTACAAAGCTCAACTCCCTGTACATGTCCCCGCCCAGATCTAGCGTGACTATAATACAACGTCATCCCTCACGGGGGGACTGCCCCTTACCTCCTCGCCCGGCTACCGCCAGCGCTCTTCACGGGCGCGGCGACGAGCTCAGCAACCTTTTGCTTCTTCTGGTCCTCCAGGGCCTTCTTCATCAGGTAGTCGTCGATAGCCTGGGAACCGTCCACCAGCAGTCCACCCTCGGCCCGCTGCACGTCCTCGATGGCCGCACGCTGACGATACTCGTCGAGCTCCTTACGACGCTCAGGCGACATGCGCCACTCCTTAGGGAAGCGCGGCTTGGGCTTGAACTCGTGGTGCCGGGTGTCGAGGGGGATATCCTCGAATGTCTCCTTGGGGTCCTTGGCCGCGGCGATGAGGTCGTCCACCAGGTTCGACAGGTAACGCTTGTTCTGCGCCTGGTGCTCAAAGCTCTCGGAGCTCATCTTGATGATCTCCGTCTCCGGGTTGTACCGGGGTCCGGCCAGCTTCTTGAGCTTCTCCGTTTGCACGGGTGTAAGCTTCAGATCGTCGGGGGCGAACTGCACCACGACCTTCTTCTCGGCGGGGTGGAATTCACCCATGTAGGATGTGTACCTCCATCGGAGGACCTGGTTATCGGTAGGAGGGACGAACGGCTTGGCGAGTTCTATACTGCATCAGTATTCCCAGGTCTTATACTCGGGAATCAATTCACTCACTTGAGAGGAGGGGCAACTCCCAGACGGCCAATCTGTCATATTGTCGCATCTCTCGAATCTGATCGAGCTTTCCGTGTGCCATGGAAGTAATGTCGTCCTCATCAAACTCCTCCAGCTCTTCAGTGTTGGTCTCGGGATCCTCTTCGTCGTACCAGAATGACTGCCTGTTCGGCTTCTCTCCCCTGTCATCCTTCATTATTTCATCCTGCAGCGATCTATCTTCCGAGGCCCAGCCGGGCCTGCGCTCCAGCTCGGTCTCGAGGTACTCGTCGATCGTGTTGTACCCGTTCTCCTTGGCCAATTCATCCAACTGCTTCATGCCCTCCGGGGTAGCGGCCTCTGCAATCGCAGCCTCGAGCTTCTTGAGCTCAATTGGCCCGAGATCCTCCTCTTCCTCTTCACCCTCCTGCTCCTGCTGCTCCCGCTCACGCGCCCATCGTATCGTCGAGGTGCCGAATGCCCGCTGGGGGACGGATCGTTGCCGAATGATCTGTTGAGAGCGGGGAATCTGTTGAAGCCGGGGCGCCCTGCGGCACGCCAAAACACATAGCCTTGCGGCAGCCGAAGCTGAAGCCATTGCGAGTCGTTCGAGGGGAGCAATGGCGGCGCCGAATTGTCGTCCGTCTGGGGAATTGGGTGGGCAAGCTTTCAAAAATTTGGAGCGCGGGCATTGGCGGGTTGCCGAAGTTTCGCCATCCCACTTTCTGGAGGCTCTTCACCTCTTCACCGTGGAAAAGCTTCGGCTAACACCAACATAACCTCTTTCCCTCTTACACCACATGCACTCCCATCAACCTCCCAATTCCTTTACCAGGAGATATTTTCTTCATTCAAAACTGAGCATATGACTTCAGATTCTGATCGCGCTGGCCGGCTCTGCTTGGTCACGGTCGGCGCCACCGTCGGCTTCAGGAAACTCACCGAAGCGGCCCTTGATCCCATTTTCTGGAAGTACCTAGTGTCGCAGGGCTTCACCGAGCTACATGTACAGTGCGGGCCGGATGTTGCCTGGGCAAGCAAAGAGTTGATTGCCCGCAAGGATGACGCTCCCCGAGGCCTCAACATTGACATCTTTGACATGAGAAACAATCTCGCGAAAGAGGAGATGACGCTGTGCAAGCCTCTAGACGGGAAGCGGCAGCTCGGTCTCGTCATCTCACATGCGGGTACGTTTCACAGGCGTTGTTGATATTGAGAATGTAGTAACTCACAATCCTAGGAACGGGAACTATACTCGACGCCTGGAAGCTGGGACTTCCCATCATCGTGGTGCCCAATACGCAGCTCTTGAACGATCATCAAACCGAGATGGCAAAGCATCTCTCAAAGGAGGGGTATGCCATCATGAGCACTAGCAGGTATGCAAACGCCCCTATCCAACCTCTCGGAACAAACATCACCTTACAACAAAATAGTGTGGACGATCTACAGGAGGCAATGCATAAGGTGGAGCTCCTGTGGGAGGACAACAAGTCTCGCTGGCCCCCCAACAAGGTGCCGTCGGCGGGAAACGACAGACGGCGCCTCTGGGATCTTGCCCCTCATGAGGTCGCCAAGGAACAGAATGCGACCATGACTCACGACTAGGCGTTTGGGCTTTTGAGACGCATTCTCGGCATCTAAAGGACAGCATGGCGAAGGCGACCAGTATATCTATATATACTATCTGGGTGGCATGTTTTGGAGTTGGGGCGTTACCCCTGAAAAGGATCTTTATCAAAAGCTGTATTTATCTCACGTTAACTCCGGCTTATGTCTTCTCATGGAGTCAAGCGATCTAGTCTAGGGGTTTATAGACCTCAAGGCAAATTCTGGACGTTCCAGATCTTCACGTTTGCATCTCCTCCGGCACTGGCAACCCTGCCACCCTCGACCCAGGCGACACCGTTGACGCCATCCTTGTGAGCATTGGCAGCCTTGATTCGCTTGCCCTGGTTCCTCTTCTCCAGGCACCAAACAAAGACGTTGGTGTCGAGACTGCCGCTCGCGGCATAGGCACCCGTGTCGTTCCAGGCGATAGAGGTCACTCTCGCAGTGTGGGCCGACCAGCGGTCCGTCACGAGGTCCCAGCTATCACTGTTGTAGACATAAATCTTGCCAACACTGTTTCCAGCAGCCAGATTAGAGCCGTCCTTTGAGAAGGCCAGAGCAGTGATGGTTCCAGTAGGGTTAGTCAGGGTCTTGACCGGCTCAAGCGCACCCCCAGATCCAGTCGTGTAGACGCGCACCGAGTTTTGGTCAGCTCCAATAGCAACCAGGGAACCAGATGCCGCGATGGCACCGGGAGTAAAGTCCAAGCTCTGCTCCTTCACCAGCTTCTCGCCAGAGTAGACCGAAACACCAGAGTAGGTTGCGACGTAAACGAGACCGTTGGACGCACTCACGCCCTTTGGCTGCGCCGGCAGCTTGGCCGAAGTTCCCAGGAACGTCTTGGCTGACTCGTCAACGATTCGCAGGGTATCATCCCAACCAGCACTGAAAGCCTTGCCATCAATGGTCGCAACCTGGGCGACTTGGTTTGTGTGCGTCTGGCCATCAACCACACTCGCAATGCCCGACTTGAGGTCCCAATGGTATACCTTACCATCAATGCTGCCAGACCAAAGATCAGAGCCCTTGCCGTCAGAGCCAGTGGCGAGGGCAGTGATGCTCTTGCTATGACCATAGACAACCCGAATTGGTTCCGACTTGCCCTCGGCCAGATATGTGAGGTGACCTTCAAGGTTCAGGCTGATAATAAGTCCATCAGTCCGGCCGTGGACAAAGACAACGCCGACCTGCTGGTCACCAACACTGGCGTCCTCTCCAAACTTCCAGCTCTGGATGACGCTGCCCGCTTCAACATCCCACAGCTTGACGGTCTGGTCGGCACTGGCCGTCACGAACTTCTTGCTGTCCTGCGACCATGACACAGAAAAGATGCTTCCTGTATGCTCACCCTGGCCGATCTCCTTGGTAGGCTCACCCGTCTTGCCGTCGTAGAGCTGTATCCGCTTGTCGGCTCCAACAGTGACCAGAGTAGTTCCATCAGGAGAGTAGGCAGCGCCGAGAACAAAGCCAGTGTGCTGAGCGCTCTTGTTGTTGAACTTGTAGGGAGCTCCATGGTAAAAGACCATGTTGCCATCATCACCAACAGTGGCAGCGCGGAATGGTCGCTGGGGCTTCATGGCAACGGCATTGACGGACTTGGAGTGACCAATGATCTCACCGACAGAGTTTCCGCTGTCAGCGGTGATGCAGCGTCCAAGTTGTTCGCGACCATCACCAACAGCAATGACACGCTGCGACTCGCCGTCCCAGGCAATGTCATTTAGACGGCCTGAGATGATGCCGTACTCTCCCCTTGTGCTATCGATAGACGCGGGCTCCCACACCTTGAGCACTCCAGTGGCATCACCGCTGGCAACCTTGAAGCCATTGGGAGAGAATCTAGCGACGGTGGTCGGGGCGGTGTGGCCGGTGTACTCTTGACAGTCTGAAGGGTCGTCGATGGAACGAACAAAGATGGACTTGGCGCACTAGATATGCGACGAGGAGCAGTCAGCGACAAATCTCATAGTCGTAGACCAGCTGGAGAGAGGTTGAGCTTACGGGATAAGCTATTCGTTGACCCTTGGAGTCGGTCGAGAGCTGAGTAGGCTGGCCACGGTTGGTAACGGGAACAGCAGCTAGGATGCGATCGAGTGTGATTGAAGGAGAAGCCATGACGGCAGCGGCGGTTGCGGCGGGATACGAAGGGTATAGTTGCAGAAGAAAGACGGTATGCAGATGCGCGGGTGTTGGAGTGGGTTAGGGGATGTCGTCAGCGTCTTGTTGTTTAGGTGGTGGTGTTGGTGGTTTATTGTGAAACGTGGGGAGTTTGCTTGGGTTGGAGGGGCAGGTTCTTAGCTACTGCGGGGCACTATTCGTCACAGCTTGAAGCTCCCTCTGACACGGACTTGGGTAAAGCAGATAAGACAATGCAAGCCCAATGGTAAAAATAGCTAATTTCTATGCTTTTTGTTAACAATATATATCAAATCTTTACTGTCTGCCTACTTGAAAGATAGCTGCCTGGTGAATAGTGGAGGGTTAGGCTACCTGTTCACCTAACCTAGAATCGGGACCATTCCCCATCATGCCCTCTACCTACCCTATACTGTACTATGCTTGATCACGTCAGTTCAATACAGCTTCATGATACACTTTAGTATTGAAACTTCTCTATTGATGGCATCTGCTGGCAATGCTTTGGTCTAGACCTCTTCCGTCCGCTGTTTTGGTGTCATCGTACCTCTTTCAGCTGCACGAGGCACCGGTGGCACAACCCGATGCAGATGAATGTTTACACACCACATCACCAATATGATGCATCACGACCTGCGGGTTCACTCTGGGCGGCCTAAGTTGCACTGGCGACGGGAGCCATGAACCAATACCAGATGCAGCAGAGGCGTCGTCATCTGGCTAGATCTACCGCCACCGACTCCGACGTGATGGAAGTGTATGCCTTTTGGGGGGAGGAGGCAACGCCGTTGCCGCGGTTCCAAATGCTCTGCTCTGTAAGCCGGGCTATGGCCTGTACTTTATTTGGATACGATCCAGGGTTGGCTTGGCTGTCACGCTGCTGCCGGTTTTTTTTTGTTGTTGGCCACCCTCCCACAATTGGATTCGATTGACGGGGTCCATTAGCCGCAGGATCTGTCAATACGAAGTTTGGCCTCCGAGGCAACCAAGATGGGTGATGCAGGATACTTTTTGATTGTAACACAGACAACCGAAAGATTTACCTTTTGGCCTGCGTCTGGGAGTGACCACCGAAACCGCCCGGTCGATCAGTCAACAATGTTCCACCGAATGAACCTCTCGCACGGGACAAATGGATCCATGGATGGCCCGGCCAGACACGGCAGCGTGATACAAGGCAAGCCATGGTAATCTTCTCTTTTCCCTCTGTGTGATGGATGATGCTCTTTCAGCTTCAGCCACGTCCTGGGTTCTCACATCATCATCATCTCCCAGAGACGACACTTGGACCACCACGAGACGAGAGGAGAGATTAGCTGATTTAGCCTCTTTCCCCGTGATTGCAACGTTTGTCGGACCACACAGGGTCTCATCACACATCACCAGGCCAGTTGAACCCAGTCGTCGGCCCGCTATCTCATCCATGAATCTTTTTCATATTGAGTATTATCAGGGGACGCGACGAGCCGGGGGACCAACAAAAAAAAGTGGATACCCACCTGAGTTGTCGCGCGCCTCCCGGACCAAGAAAAACGCAGGCTAATGCAATGCACTGTTACTGCGACGCATCCCATCCTAGCTTGCAGCCTCGATAATAGTGCAACCTTTTGTTTTTATACGAACATGCTATGCTTTGTGATGGATGGTGGATGGAGACATTGTCCACTTTGTGTACTCTGTAAACTCACTCTCTAGACACCCGTTCTTATTGTTGAGACTCTTTAATCACGGTCAAAGAATGGAGACAAATAAAAGAAAACACAAGAAGAAGAAGAAAAAAACAAATAATAAACAAGCCAACCTCAAGCCTCAAACCTCCAATACACGGCAACTTGCATCTGGCGCCGCCCCCTTTGATCTCAGCCCGCCAGATTCACACAGAGGTTCAACAATCCAGACTTTGACTGGCTGGTCAGTTCATGACTTGATCAACACCCCTGCCATCCATCCGTCCATCCCATGGGTCGTTTCCCGGGGGTGGCACGGCAAACTCGCCCGCTGCTGCATAACTGGCCCCAACTAGAGTCAAGATGCTAAAACAAGTCCCTGTTGCTAATATCCCCCATCCCGTCCCCGTGCGTGCCTTCGCTCCGTACTGGTATAATTACAACTTGACCTCCCACCCCCGTCTCCCTTTATTTTCTCTCCCCAGATCCATCTCTCTCAAACTTCATTCCATTCTTCTCCAGTCTTCTTCCGTACATCTTCACCCACGCCTCTAATCCCTTAATCAACAAACCAACCAACCACAACCGTCAACATGAAGTTCGTCTGGTCCCTCGCTCTCCTCGCCGCTGCCGGCGCCTCCGCCCAGTCTTCCGAGACGGTTGCTGAGACCGCTGCCGCTCCTTCTGCTTCTTCCGAGTGCGAGGCCGAGTACATTGTGAAGCGATGCCTCGAGACCGAGAACGCCAAGGTACGATGGGCCCCCTGAACAATTTACACAAGCACAGCATACTAACAGCATCTTTTACAGGCTGAGGACTGCAAGGGTGACGATTGGGACTGCCTCTGCGCTGCCTACGAGGCCATTGCTACGTAAGAAATACCCCTGAAGATTTCCTCCGTATCACCAGCAAGACTAACATCACCCTGCACAGCTGCTTCAACAACTGCCCCGATGACTCCCGAGCCTCCAGCGCCCAGAGCCAGGTCCAGGTCTACTGCCAGCAGGCCTCCCTCTACGGCACCCGAACTAAGACCACCAAGACGGCCACCGCCGAGACCGAGAGCACCGGTACCGCCGATGCAACTGCCACCGGTGCCAACGCCTCTGAGGAGTCTGCTTCCGCCACAGAGTCTTCCGCCAGCCCCGACAACACCAACAACGCTGCCGACCTGGCCCGCAACACCGGTGGTGTCCTCCTCGCCGTTGCTGGTGTTGTTGCTGCTATGCTCTAAGGGATGAACTAAGGTAGCTCGCTCGGTCGCGTCAATTGGTGGAGTTTCAGCCGGTTCAAAGCTTGGGTCAAAAGCGCGTACATCTTGGGATTTTTAGAGTAAATATATTACAAGCTAATTCATTAATAAACATTGGATTTGAAGCCATCTACTGTATCATGCACCTGAACGGAGACTGAGATCCGATACTTGAACTCAAAAACCGACCCCAAAGTCAATTGTCCAGGAACGCAGCTAATGTGCAACAGCTACTGTAGCTAGGCCCAAGCTTTACCCCCTGAGGTAACGCCACTGACGATCATCTGCCTCGTTCCGCTCCTTCAACGGTCTGAACATAACCGAGCTTGGCCGTGCACTTCATCACCACGGTCACCAACATTCACGAGGTCTCTGGTCTCAGTTTCACATGTTGCTCAATATTGAGCTTCTCTTGTCTTTCGTATTCGGCCTACCCACGAGCCACCTTAAATACTATGATACAGATAAGGTGGCCCGAGGGCTCTCTTAACTTAACCCCATCATCATACAGCAGACGTCCACCTTCTTCTCGGGGAGCCATGTCATTGAGCAAAGCAGCAGCTGCGAAACGGAATCGAGCACCAAGCAAAAAACACAGAACCCCAATCTCGGAAATCCCCCATCTCCCCTAGCGCCGAAGTGTAATAATCATGCATCTCTAAACGAAATCAAAACAATAACAAGACGTCTCTCAAATTCTGTAAACCCGCATGGCGCCTCAGTCCCCCCGTATTTTCCGTTTCTGGACGTACTGAAACCAGGCAGCCGTCCTTGCTCCAGCTTTCAGTCCCCAGGATGTCATCATAAAGTGTCGAATAAAAGAATATGGTTGAAAGGTGGTGGTTCAAGAAGAGAGGTGAATCCAATGAGTTTTTGGGCATTTCTGCCTGGCTATAATAACCGTGTGTGGGTGGGGGTGCGCGTGCCTGCGAGTTGAGAACGCCATGTGAACCTCGTTTTCCAGAGTTTTCAAGCCAGTCTAGACTTTGCGACGTCGGTCCCTGGCCGTGTTGTTCTTGACCGGAGTCATCAGGGTGACATGTTTAGGATCGTCCTTGCCAAGCCTAACAGCACCAGACACGCCGCTTGAACCCCGACGCAGCGATCGAGGATCTTGGTCATCGTCCAGTGTGATCTCAGCCACATCAGAGACCGACTCGGTTTCTAGGTTGTCGCTGGCGCCAGAGACAGAGGAGCCGTCGTCTGTATCGTCGTACTCTCCGTCGTCACTGACCAGGGAGGGCGCGTTGTTGCTGACCATGGTGTGAGGACTCATATCAGCATCCTCCATATCCAAATCTTCGTCTGAGAGCTCGTGCTTCGGTCCGAGATTGGAGCCCAAGTTCGTCGGCGCCTTGAAAGCAATCGGAGGGACACGACCTTTGCTGCTCGCAGGGCGAGCTGACGTGTTCACCATGGTCGCATGTTGTGTGGCTTTAGCAGGCACACGCATAACGACAGGTGTCCGCACGACTGAATCCTTTCCAGGATGGCCTTCAATAGGGGTCTCAGCCATCTCTGATTCTTCCCCAGAAGCGAAATCGTCCAATGGCGTCTTGGTCTTTGCGTCTGCGGCCAATTCACGCAGGTTGCCGTCGAACTTCCGACTTTGTAGGAGACGAGAGAGGTGAGGCATATCTGGAGCTCCCTCCAGAGAAGCCGCCTTCTTATCCTTACGACCGCGAGCCTTGCTGGACAGAGAAGGAATGCTAGTTACACCAGGCAGCTTGCCTTGGTGGTAGAGCTTGAGAGATTCCGAGATCCTTGACTGAAGTGCAACGTAGGCTTGCTGCTCAGTCATATCGGGCCGGGCGAGAGGATGCACGGAGGTAGAGGTCGAGCTCGGTGCTGCGGGCGCCGGAGCCTTTTCTTCTCCTACAACTCCACCTCCTTCCGCCACCTCGATGGGATGGCCGCTGTGAACAGCTGCTTCTTCATGGCTCTTAAAGTCGCGCTTGTGAGCGATGCGACAGTGGTTGATGAAGCCCTGCGTGCTTGAGAAGTTCTCACGGTTACAATCCAAGCAAACCAGCTTGACTGTCTTACCATCGGCTCGCTTCAGGATACATGGACCAGCCTTGTCCTTCGGTTGCGGATAACCACTCGACAAGGATTGCAGCTTCTGACCAGCAACCCCACGAGCGGAGCGACCCTTGAGTGAGCTTCCAGATTCGGTGAAGCTGTTCCTTGTCGTGCGTCCCTCGGTGAACGAAGCTCTTGCACGAGCAGCTTCCGGTGTGAACTGCCACTCAGGTTGCATGCCGTCGAAGGAAGGGTCAGGAATAAGCCACTTGGCATAGTGTCTGGCGTATGGACCGTCGACAACACCAAATGGAGGCGCCCATCTGGGTACCGCTTCTCCAGGGCGAGATTGTATAGCAGGGCCCTTCCCGGCACTGACTTTGAGCATCTCCTCAGGGGTCGGACAATTCACAGGATAAGGAATGAGATGGCAGCGCCGCAGCTGTTCCAGTGCGACTTGGCACTTGGCGAGTTCCTGGTTAATGAGCCTCAACTCATCATGCTTTAGTAGAATCTCAAGGCCGAACTGGTGGCGGATCTCGTCCCGGGCACTCTCCAGATCAGGGGTCGCAGGGATCGGCTCAGACGTCGAGTCGCATGCCGACGGAACATCTTGGCAAGGGTCGGCATCGGTTTTCAAGCGCTTGGCAGGCGCAAGCAGATCGGGCGACGCATCTGAGCCATCGCAGCTCTGCCGCCTCCGTTTGGGCGGCTGCACGGTGGACGATGCTATCGTCGTGGTGTCGCCGGGGAGTAGATGCGGCTGGAGTGGTTTTACAAGATCCACGATCGGCTGTGGCGCCTGGAGCGTCTTGTCACTTCCCCTTTCGGATGCCCAGAATCGAAACATGAGCAGACCTTGACGAGGTGTCAAGGGAAAGAGGACAGAGGAGTTGCGAATGCGGTTCGCAACGAGGTTTTGAGGCAATGCGACAGGCAGCGAGCGCACGGCCACAGGCACCGACGAGACGGGTGTGAAAGTTGGTGCGGATTACCACAGTGGAGCCTGAGGTTGGTGAAGAGGTGGCGCAGGCAGGGCTGACGTAACCAGGCGTGCTTGCAGGTCGGACGATCGGGGTTGGGCGCGGGCGCGCCAGGCAAAGGGGGTGATGATGTGGCCCCTCAAAACAGGCCAGAATTGGGGGAGTTCGGGTCAGCCAGCGACAGCAGCGACAAGGGCTCAAGTCGAAGAGATGAGGCAGAAGAGAGAGAAAGAAGAAGTGATCGAGCGCTAACAAAAGCCTCGACTCGTGAATCTCTGGGCGACAGCCAACAGAGCAGTCTTTTTTTCAGAGAGGGAGAGTGTGTGTACGAGGGAGATGAGGGAGCGTGTAAGAGGGAAGAGAGCGAGGCAGCGAAGGGAGAGAGGAAATGGGGGTGCAAGCGCAAAGGAAGGTGCGAAAGGGAAGTCGAGACGGGGAGGGGGGAAGGTGCGTCGAGGGGGTTTGAAGGAAGGAGGGAGGGAGCGAGGTGGATTGCAGTCTGACTGACGGACGCCGCGTCAAGGAGGACGGGATAAAGTCAAACCCAGGCTCAGGAAGGGAAAGCGAAGGGGAAGGGGAAGCAAGTGGCACTTGCAACGTGAGAGGGTGACGCTCGGTGCTGGGTTTCGCTCCCTGATTGATTGAGTGATTGACCTGATTGAGTGATTGATTGACGAAACGCAGACCTGAGGCGAAGCCTGTTGGGCCGAGCAGCGGGCGGGCTAAAGCAAGCTCGGGGGCGCTGGCAGGCTAGAGGTAGATGCTGGCAGGCTGTTGGCGGGCGCGCCGGGGGGGAGATTTGTTGTTTTGGGGGAGTGGACCACCAGCCAAGCTTGGGAGCATCCACTCTAGCACACCATCCATGAATTACGAACGGGGAGAGCAACCGCAGGCTCCAGAGCAGGGCAGCCATCCAGGTCCGCATTGCAGAGGGAGAGAGTCCTCCTCCCCAGAAGGCCCCAGCACCCACTTCTTGATACTGGAACACGCTGCGACGGACCAATCCCGAGGAGGCCAAGGATGTCGTCGCTCCAGCGCATCCCATGAACATGAGGCGAGAGTGGCACTCGTCTCGCAGTTGGCATCCGCCGGGGCAACAGACAGCATCAAGGCAAGGCAGGCAGGCATCCATTATCACCTTATCAGCGCCCTCCCTTCCTGTTTGCCGAGGCGCAGTGGGCAGCCAGCAGCCTGCCCGACCGGTTAATGTTCCCATCAATGCCGATATTCACGGTAACGAATCTCGCAGGTCCTGCTTACAGCGCACGAGTCCTAGATGAGCAGGGGTGTGCAACCACCGTTCCGTTCAGGTTCCCCTGCTTACAGGTCGATAACTAACGGGTGCCAAATGCCGTCAAGGATACGGCAGGAGATCCGTTAACTAATGAATGGGTCCAGCTTATCGGCGACTTGCTCCGAGCCCGTGCGCCCATCTCATCCATGGCATCCATATTAAAAGTGCGACTCTCACGGACGCGAAATGAGGACGTGAGAGCCATGTTTTTTTTTTTTTTTCTCTTCTAGTCTCAGACAAGAGTCAGTCGCCTGCCGTGAGGGTGCTCGCAAAGTAGGATGCGCCGTCTCTGGTGCCTTTTTGCCATGACCCAATGACTTCCGGCAAACCATGTTTCCCTCCAAAACGTGGATGTAAAAGCATAAACAGAGGAGGAGGTGCGGGACCAGATCCATGTGGCCAATCCAACCCATTCCATCATGGCTCTGAATCGCCTAATCTACAAAACTGTATCTAAGATGATAAGTTGTACTCAACAACGAGAAGCATCTCGGTGTGCCTCGCCTCTTCTCTCCCGACTCGCACCAACCTCGCTTCCACTTTGTCTCACACTTCCATGCTGCCATCACATGTTGCTTCCTGCTTGTCAATCCTTCCTCCTGTTGGACTCAGGGACGAGGAACGTCTGACAGTGCAACCATCTCAGACGCAGCTGAGATAGAATGGATGTGTGGGACGTGGGGCTCCCACTCCGAGTTGCTGCAGCCACTTCCAACCAGCTCAAGGCTTGGCCCACTTGGCCCTGGACCAAGGTCAAGTTGTTAATGCGGTACAGTACCTTAACAAGACGCCAGCCTCTCATCTCCAATCCTTCTTGAGCGTGGCATCCAGCTGGGCGCCCTAAAGGCGGCAGCAAGCCTCTCGAGGCCCAAGCTCCTTTGCTCTCGACCTGGGCACTAACATCTGACTTGTTTCGTATCTCACTATCACTGATGGACCATGTGTCGCAGGCGAGGTATAGTGGCTAACATCCGGGGAACGAACCGGGAGGCATCTTAGCCTCAGCACCTCAACTCTCGTCCAAGCTACGACATGCAAGTCCAAGGGGGAGCTTCCATCAGAGCTGGGCTGAAATGCTTCCAGCGGAACCACTCCCCGCCCCACTGATTCTCGCCCAAGTCGTCATACATGACATAGATAGCTCAGTCCGGTTTACAAGAGGAAGAGTTTTGCAGAACCGGTGATAGAGAAAAGCCCAGTCACGGACAGGAGGAATGAAATGATCATATCTCAAGTTAGTCGGGTACGGGACCGAAGCCAAGAGTCATGCGCGCCATGATATGCTTCGTCCTCATCGACTCAGGCTGAGGCATGCTCAGAATTCCGAGCCGCTAGCGCCGAGACATGCAGCAGCCACAATCACCCTGTCCCAATTTCAGACCCAAGTCACATGACCGTGGCTTGGGTCCCACGTGCTCTCACTCAGAGTCTCAAACTTGCAAGAGAATCAATATCAGATTGGATCTTGAGATAGATCCATGCCTGCCAGGTGAGAAGTAGTAAAAGGAGTATCTCAAGGCCTAATGCGATTTTGGCCACCGTTCTTCTCTTTATTCATAGCGTAACACTGGACGATCCCACCTTATACCGTTGTTAGTAAAGAGCAACTCACCTAACCCACGAAGAGAAATATATTGAAATGGTCTCCTTTTTTGTTAGTGAAGAGTACATGAGGAGTATCCACTCGTATCCTGACATACGCAATAACCCTTTCTTTAACCGATGATCTATCCCGTAGAATCAAGATTTCTTTACAACAGTCCATTCAACATGATCTCGCAAGCGACCGACTTCGGCTTGGCTAGGTAGCCAGTCACAGCCCTCCTTCAGACCCCACCCAAAAATTATCCACGTCTATCAAGCTATTAACAACATCGTACACATAACAACTCGTGCCGTACACAGCGTCCATTCAGCCTGCTTTACTAACCCATTGGTCAATTGGGGTCGCCTTTGATAGAGATATGTTCTCTGCTACTTCAGGGGCTGTGCGCATCAGCGCCCGCCGCATTGCCCCCCGAGCAACCTCGGGAAACACGCACATCGCCCAGGACCGTTTTCTCTCTTCTACAGGACGTCTGTCATATGCTATCAACACAAACCCGAATCCGCCCTTGGGTAAAAAGAATGCTTCCAACGATGTACCTTCTCGGATTGGCCTCATTGGAGCCCGTGGCTACACAGGCCAAGCCCTGATTGATCTTCTTAACAAGCACCCCAATATGGACCTTCGACATGTATCATCTCGAGAACTCTGCGGTCAGGAGCTCGAAGGATATAGCAAGCGCAAAATCATTTATGAGAACCTCTCTCCTGAGGAAGTAGCTCAGCTGGACCAAGACGGCAAGGTCGACTGTTGGGTTATGGCTCTTCCCAACGGCGTCTGCCAACCGTTTGTGGAGGCTCTTGGTCAGAGTTCGAGCTTGATCGTTGATCTTTCCGCCGACTACCGCTTTGACGGTACTTGGGCTTACGGCCTGCCTGAACTGGTACAACGAAGCAAGATTGCTCAAGCAACTCGCATCAGCAACCCTGGGTGCTATGCGACAGGGTCGCAATTGGCTTTGTCGCCCATTCTGGAACATTTGGGAGGCATGCCAACGGTCTTTGGGGCTTCGGGTTATAGCGGAGCCGGCACGAAGCCTTCTCCAAAGAACGACGTCAAGCTTCTCCATGATAATCTTATTCCTTGTAAGAATTCAGAGCTCAGCTACAAGTAAATAGGAAGCTAACTTTCGGTAGACAGCTTGACTGGACATGTGCATGAGCGAGAGATCAGCCATCATCTTGGTGCGCCGACATCATTTATTCCACATGTGTATGTTATATCTCTTTTCCCTCTTATGTCCCGAGACTGACAATAATTCAGCGCCTCTTGGTTCCGTGGCATTCACCTGACCGTCAACATCCCTTTGAACAAGACGTTGACTTCTCGAGATATCCGTCAGATGTATCAAGACCGATATGCTGGCGAAAAGCTTGTAAAGGTTGTTGGTGAAGCCCCGCTCGTGAAGTCGATTCAGAATAAGCACGGAGTTGAGATTGGAGGCTTCGCCGTTGACAAGACCGGAAAGCGTGTCGTTGTGTAAGTATCCCATCTAGGGGTTTGATCCTTGAAGGTGCTTCGGCTAATATTGGACAGTTGTGCCACGATTGACAACCTCAACAAGGGCGCTGCCACACAATGCTTGCGTAAGTCTTTTCGATAAATGACACCATATCTGTTCTGGCTAACAACTATATCCAGAGAACATGAACCTCGCCCTCGGATATGATGAGTATCAGGGAATTCCTATTGAATGATCGAGTCGGTCTGGAAGGACTACAGACTTTGACTATCGGTCCGTTCCGCCACGCTCCAATATCCATCATCTCAAAGAGGGGCGCCGCCCCCTTTCGCATTAGAGAGACGGGATGTGCCAATCTACAGGCGGTCCCAGGAAAGACAACGCAAGCATATACCAAGCGACAATGTGCAGGGGGTGATAGAAGATTAACCGTCCGATTTCTCGGATGCGTTGCTATGCTAACTGCGAAAGAGGAAAACGCAGGGGTAGTTTATCATTTGTCACATCCTGTGCTAAGGAAATGTATTACAGATAGACTTAAGCAGGAAAGTGAATACCTCATACAGAGTCTTCTGTTTCAAGCACAGCTTAGTCCGAGTATCGTACGCAAAGACTTTGCTTTTGGTCTGTGCATACTCGATTCCAACTTACACCTAAGACGTGGGGAGGTTGTTGAGGTTGTCAAATGCTTACGTAAGGCAGCTTCCAGTAAATTTTGTTTGGCCGAGTCTTGGTGGATTTCCTCACCGAAGCAAAGATCCATCATGGATCCCATTATGTACCATGATGCATGCTTTTTGTATTTCCTACTAGGACCGGTGCTTAATTGACTTCAGACCGTCCAACAGGAATTTATTCCGGAAAAAATCGAATCCTGGGACTCTTTGAGCCCCGTTCGTGATCGGAGCCCTCAAGTTGACAGACGCAGTCTTTCGTCGCCGCCAAGCCAGACCCTAGACTCACGGACCGCAACTTTTCCGCCCGCCACTTTCACTCATCCTCGAGAATCGAACGAATCTCCTGCATCCAATTCCTTCCCCCACAACCATGTCCGCCCCGAGGCAAGGCATTGGCAAGAGAAAGCCAGATGCAGCCATTTCCAAGGATGTCGGTCCTCAAAAGCGAGTCCGGAACCAGGCCCCGCAATCGCCAACATCGGCCCTCATAGCTCCCCACGAAGCCATACTCGCCGAGCTCAGATCCAAGCACGAAGTCCTCGCCCTCTCCGTCATTTCGTCCACCAAGATCACCAAGCGCGTCACATCCGTCCTCAGTCACCTACTCGAAGAAAGCGAACGCCCGCGACTGGTACTACTGCACGCGCGAACCGCAGACGTCTGCAAGCTCATCACGGTGGTGGAAAAATGCAAAAGGGTCCTAGGCGAGGAGGGCAAGGCATACTACCAATACAATCAACTGTTCGACTTGCCGGAGAAGCCAAAAAAGCGAGATCTGGTCGAGGAGACGGTACTTGAAAAGGACGCGGAGGGGAGCGACGATTCAGACAGCGACGACTTCGAGGTCATGCACAGCCGGTTTGAAGATGCCGTGCTACCCCGTCCCTCGACACGCTCGGTCAAATCCATGCGGGTCTTTTTCTCGATCGCGCCCATAATGGAGCTCAAGTCGAAAAAGGGAATCACTATCCAGTCTAGCGCGCAAAAACAGGCGTAAATATCCACACTTCTCGGTCAACGACTTCGGATAGTTGAACATGGGGCGACTCAATTGGAGGGAACATGAATTTTACTCGGCGTCCAGAGGCAAGGGTTCGGCATGATTATGGAAATGCCACACATGTTTGTACGAGATACCCAAGAGGATCTAGTATCCTAACTTTTTACTTGTATTGATACGGTCCTACGATCCAACCCAGTACCCAAACTTGACCACCGGCTCAAACGCCAAATTAACCAACAATCCTCCAAAGAATCCATTCAACCCCTCTCTTCCTCGATCGGTCCCTATATAGCTCTCCATGTTGCCTTGTTGTCTCTACTCTCACTATCCCCGACTTAGTTGTTACCGTGCTTGCTGGGCTGGTCGGTGATTCGGAGGACAAAGTTGACAATGACGGCCAAGAGCAGGATAATGGCCAGAACAGTAGGACCGAAACGGTCGTCGAAGCCGGCCTGTCCCCTCATTCGTATAGACTTGGCTCGCCAGTGGTATGTCACCAAGGCGTACAGCATGGTCAACATGGCGACGCCGGTGAAGAGGAACGCCGAAATGAAGGCGACGCGGTCACCGAAGTTGAGCATACCAATGGCCAGGGCGCCAAGGATGACGGTGAAGTTGAGCCATGACAGGAAGGTTCGCTCGTTGGCAAAGAAGACCTTGGGCTCGACGCGGGTGGGTAGGGCGATGCGCTTGCCTATTGATAGTGTTAGAAATGCGTGACACAGGTGTGGAAATTTCTCGAGAGGCCCAAGAATCGATGCCGATGGGTGTTCGTACCAGGAGTGGTCTGGAGAAGAGGTTGAGAAGACATGGTGAAGTTCCGCGATAAGGTCGTCCAAGGTGGTTGGGAGGTATTAAGCTATAGCTAATGATTGTTGCTATGTCAAGATGCGCTTGAAGAATTATCGATACTGCCGTCAATTGAGAGCGCGGCTATCTCTGATGTAAGCAATTGGCGACTCGAGCAGCTTCGCAGAGGTTTGAGGGGATTCAAAAGCAAGGTTGGGTTGTGAAGTCCAAGAGAAAAGCTTCAGCGTCTCAGAAGATGCTCGTTACGACAGTGGCTCGGTCAAGGGAGAAGGAAAGGCCCCACTTCCTTGCTTCACAAGACCCGCAAGGGAAGGGCACGTGGGCCGATTGGTTGGCGACGATATGCAAGGGTCACGTGCGCACCCTCAGCTCGCGTCGCCTGGGCGGAATGCGCTTCCGGCAGAATGCCCGAAAGGGAAAGACAATCCAGGTATGTGGGAATCCAAACAACGACAGTAGATTATTTATCGATTGCGTTGGACTGCACGTCGAGCAACGGGCGCGCTGAAGCTGCACGTGAGTAGAGTATTGCACCGTCTCTTGTGCATGATGTAGAAGAAATTTGATCTACTACGTGTTTATGATGCCAACTGGTGGTTTGTGCTTGTTAAGCCCGGATTATTTCTGTTAACGACGTGACGAACTGAACGCTGTGACGCTGTTTTGTTTACCGACTCTTACTTTTCCTTATCCTTATCCTTTTCCTCCACCACGCCATCAACACAAGCGCCAAACCTCCCCCTCTCAACCACGCACCTCTGTCAAACTTCAAAATGGCCACTCCTGTACGCGCATCAGCTTGACGACCCTCTATCGGTGCAGATTTGTGCTGACAGCTCTCCAGCCTATTCCCTTCAACCGCCTCAAGCAGATTGCTACCGATGTGCGTCGTCCCTCACGCTCCTTACCGCCAATGTCGATGGCAACCATCATCATCAACACGCGTACTGACAGCAATTCTTGCAGGCTTGCAACAGCGCCATCGGCAGTGCCGAGTTCTACGATCATGCAAAGACTGAGCAATGGAACTCGACCATCATCGTGAGTGGAACACGCCCGCGACCATCTCCTGGCCGTGTCCGCTAACACATTCCCAGAGCTCCGTGCTGAAGGCCGTCATTTCCGAGTCGACTCCCCAGGGCGCCTCTGCTCCCTCTTTCAAGTTCGCCTGCAACAGCACTATCGTTCAGCACCTCGTCCCCACATCCGCCCTTAACAAGCCCCGTGGAGGCACCGAGACCCAGGCTGAGGAGCCTCACATTTCCACCAGCTCCGAGGCCACTGCCACCGATGGCAAGCCCCACGTCGGCCGACGAGGAATGCACAGCGCGACCGGTGCGTACTGGGATGAGAAGAAGGACGGCATGTGGACCTTCAAGTACGATGGCGGCGAGGGCAAGGGCCTGGACGTTGTTGTCATGCTCATCTGGATCGCCATCTGAGCTTCAGACGCGGCAACTGAGCAGTCTGGAAACGCCATCTGCTCCAAAACTACGCGCATTTCCCTCGGGGCGGTGGATGGCACTCTGATCCAGCAATGGCGTTGAGGAACCTGGGAAGCGTGACATTGGGAATACAACGGGTACGATCGAGCTTCCGGCTAAGCCATCTGCCACCGACTTTGGTGTTCTTGCAGGCCTTGGATGTACAAATGTGCTGGAATTGATAATACGAACCAGGTAGCTGGCTTCTGCCAGTCTTCTCTGGACGGTGTAGTGGACTACCTGAGATTGATACCGGAAGGACATAACTGGCGGAATAATAAAATGTCTCTACCCTTGACGATGCATTTCTTGGCTCGAACAACCTGGCTCGAGTATTAGCAGGGCTCATCTTGTGTTGTGGTTGATCAATGGCAGATGAGACAGTCATCAGGACTGATCCCCCTTGTTTGCATCCACCGACCCCTGGTGATGTGTGGGTGATGGGGAGATGCAAGGCCATGGGTTCAACTTTTAACCTGTCGCTCTTCCATTGTGATCGTGTCTGGAAGTCCAGTTCCGGTACATATTGAGGCCGCCGCGATCCACGAGTCTTTTAGCATGTGTCATGATGGTCACTAGAGAGGATATGATGGCAGAGCTTTTAGCCCACGGGGTCACCAAGCTCAAGAGCTGCTATTATTTCCATTTTCAAATCCTTGTAAAGAATCGAACACCATTTCAAGTCACAATTCACTGGCCAAAGCGACTGCCAAAGATTGGCAATATCCCAAGTCCGCTGAGTCTCATATGAGGGTATAGGGTAGTCGTCTCTAAGTGTATAAGACAACTTGGTTTAACTACGCTCTTCCAACATCTATAGCTAGGGTATCGCGAAGTTAATGATAAACTTTGTGTGCCTAGTGCTATGGATTGTGATCCTTGCTGCTATGGCTGCTCCCTTCTAGTTGCCCCCTTCCACCGAGGTGCGAAGTGTCATGACCATCTACACCAACACAACCTTAACCATGTAGGTGAGATCAACTGCTTTGGGCCAACTGGGTACCCAGGTTTGAGAGGTCTATGGGACATGGTAGCCCGCGTGGTCCTACCATAAGCCATTCCCTGATCCCACAGGCTGTGAGTTACTACATCCCCAACACCCTCTTACAAGACACGAATCATGGACATGGACACTCATGAGCGTTGCTCCGGTCGTCATTGCTTACACATGAAAGAGTCCTGCCTTTGCGTGCTGTAACCCCGAATGTGTCATGAATATTACCGCCGTGGGGTATCATCCAAGGAACAACATCTAGATCCTCGGTTAGATGACGGGCAAGGTAGCACTAGAAGAAGCGTATGACCTCCATCACAACAAAACAGGTACAGGGGAAGCACCCGAACCTGCACGGTGAAGTAGCATATCATCTATCATCTACACTGCCACATGTAAGTGTACCCGATGGCCAAGACGGCGTTTCGAGGTCGTCCGGGGTTGGATGCACAGCGAACCAAGCTGTGGGAATCAGATCATACAACGCCCGCCAATAAATAAAGGAATCACACTGATACCGTACCGTACCCGGGGAAACCTGTCACTTGAAGTGAGGCAGTCACGAGAATAGCGCCCCCAGCCATTCCTATTGGTTCCCGGTTTTAAGAGGAGTAACATAAGCGTGACAGCAAAGGGTGACTAGGAAGCCCCGGATTTCATTGCATACGGTTGCCGACGGAACTTGTCGGATCTCCTCATTGAATCCTATAGCTATCTTGATTAGAATCATGGCGTCCACGGACAACAAAGGCCGTGCTGTTGTTATCATCCCACCATCTTCACCTGGAGGTTACAGTGTGGCTGATCAGTCGGCATGTCAAGACGAGGAACGGGATCTTGAACGACTGATGGCACTGCCAAACTTGGTATTCCGCAACAAGCCCCCGATGCAAGCCATCTCCGCTGCATATGAGGAGGTTGTGCCATCAACAGGCGGTCAATCTGGCGGAGATACCTATTGTAGACATATGGCAGCAATTTCATCTTGCGATGGACTGCCTCTATCCATGTAGAGTGAGGCCATGGGAGTTGACGCCCGTGAAGCCATACGCGAGTTCTCTGGGGCTCATTGGTGAGAAGGAAGGCGCGATAAGCAGAGCGGTTGCCTGGTGTATAGCATCAGGAGATGTTGCCCACGTGACGCCAACACGAGACAGCAACCAAGCTTCAACTGACAACTGAACGACGACATACTTCTCTCAACATGTTCTGCCCTCCATTACCACCCTTGAGCCACATACCTGGCCAACAAGGCAGATGATGACGAAGCTTGGCGCTTGTTTTGACCATGACTCTCTCCACCATAGCTGCATATTGGGCGTCAGTCCGTTGAAGCCGTGCCCTGGCACAACACGCATGAGCCGCAGCGATGCATATACATGCCACAATCAAGGACGGATGCATGGAGGCGCCACCAAGTTGCAAGAGAACCAAGGACTCGCATCTTTGCCTGATCCCGATAGTTCGTCGGGTTACACGCCTACATGAAGCAGCCTGCAGGTGGCCCCTTTCCCTCCCACTCGCACGTGCTGCGATATACGAAGACTTGGAAACGTCAACACCACCATTGAAGCTCTTGCAGATTCTGAGGGATCTCGAATCATGCAAGGTGCTTCGAATGTTGGACGGCTGTGCCCGTGGGGGTCTCGACCCATTCATCCGTTATCTCATCGGATCCGAGTCGCGGGGCAGCTTGAGAAGAGACAGGCGCAACCGCAGTCCAGGCTAGGTTCGGCACGGTCGATGCAACGTGCATATGCACATGCGACAACGGCAGCGGTTGACGGGATGACATGGCTTGTTGATGGTGACATGTGGGCGAGAGCAGTGTGACGGATGGATGGTTGAGTTGACGAGAAAGCAGAGTAGCGGAACGGCATCTCAACGGCCTTGTTTACTGGTCCCGCAAGCCTTGCTGCAAGGCCAGGCCGCTGCGTCTAAATTCGGACTCCCGAAAAGAAGTCGGAGAAACCGATGACCTGACCAACCCCAGGTTTGGGTTGAGGGTGCAACCTGATTCGTGCACAGAGTTTTCACTCCTGGCTCAGGGTCCAACCTATGCGCGTGCTTCCAACTGACAGCGAGCCCAGGCCCGGACTTGCAGGTCGATAGTTGATAGCATCCCTCATCTTGTTGATCTATTGCCAGGACGGGAGATGGAAACCATCGAGTTGAACCCGCTGGACGACGACCCTGACTGGAGATCAGGCCCGCTCTGGGCGGGGCTCGCCGTCCCTTTCTTTAACTGAGCGCGGTGAGGGGACTCTGCATGACCTCCACAATGACGTTGAGCGCCGGCTTTGGTCGTTGACAACGGCCATGGAAACGTTCGGGAAACCTGGAGGCAGATCGGGTCTCGCCGTTGTACAACGGAGCATTGTGTCACTCTCTTGCTGACGGATCGACTGCTTGTCAGGCTGAGCCTTGGTGTTGTGTCATTCATTGAACGGAAACGCCCGGCGAATACGTATGTGAGTTTGATACGGAGCCGAAGCTTGGAAAAGGCTCTGGAAAGCGGCTGTCAGACTGGATCCGGAGGGGATTCCCCCCCACATGACCGGCCACGACATCACAATCATCCGGGGAAGACGCCATATGGCCTCGCTTCTTCCCGTCATACGATGGCCATGCCCATAATGGCTTCCCGGGCCGGGGAGTCGATTTCAGGCTGTTGCAAAGCAGGTCATCCAGATAGCTCTGATCACCAGGCCCACCGGCTCCGGAGTTCCTCGTCCCTGAGCATGGGTTTGCTCCGGGTTGCTCTCTGGAGTCTTGCCACCGTCACTCAAGTCTCAAGGGTCGATCGAGTCAAGGCCCCGGCATGCGCGGCAATAGGGCCCGAGCCTGGGTACCGCGGTGCGGGCTTCGGCGTCACCACACTTGCAGTGTCAGATGGACAACAGGGGACCGTGCTTGAGAGGCTGAGAGCCACAGAAAGAGTGGGCGGCACACATCTCGTCCTGTGCCTCACGCTAGCGTTAGCTTATCAAGGCATTTCCTGGAGCCTTGGACGCCTTGGCCTCGAGGGACCCAACCCCTGGAGACAGAATCACAGATCTGGAATTGGCTCATGATGGGCCCGGGACCCATCACACCACACACGGCATCCACCGCCCTCGGATTCCGACCGGCTCTTGTCTGTCTGTCCGTCTGTCTCAGTGACTGACTGACCTGGGCGTCTCTCCATCGGCGTCAAGTTCTTTATAACCCACACAGGTCGCCACTCCTCAAGCCTTGCTTCGGCTTTGATCAACGACCGGCCATCAGCTTATACCCCCCCGACTGCTCATGAACGCGCTAGTGAGGAATTCAACTCACCAACATTCAACCAAGAGACGCCGGTATAACATTGTCAACGTAACCTGAAAATCCAATCTCAGCTTGACCCCATTTCCACCTCGGTTCACATCTTAAGCCTGAAACACATCTCAACAACAACTGAACCCCTGCAACGACTATTAGCCTCGAGATATACACGAATCTGGACTTGCAGGTCACGTCACTCTACCAATTTGACATATACAACAACATCCCTGTCAACCAATTCACCATGGTTCAACTGCTCCCAGACCCAGCCTTTTCCCCCGCTGGAACCCCGACGCACGAGGGCATCGATGGTCCTCTTGCAAAGCGACCTGGTTTCGGCAGGACAGACTCTTCGGGGTCAATGTCCCGGGAGGAACATGCCCGACGCATGCAGGACCTTAACAAGAAGCGAGCGATGAGGGTCCCCAGGCGAGGATGGTCAATGACCGACTACCAGGGCGACCACGACGCCTCGCAGCCCGGACAATCGAGCTCCTCTCAAGTTGACCGGCAAGCGTCTATTCCAGAAAACGGGCCCCTCCCTGATACGGAACACTACCACTACCAACATTACCAGCATCATCAACATCAACACCAACACCAACAACACCAGGAGCCTGAAGCCCCGGTCCAAGAGAAAACGACCGAGCTTCCTCGTCGGCCCAAGCTGCCTCCTCCCCGTCGCTCGTACTCTGTCATGGACTACGAGCCTGTTCCTCAGACTCAGCCCCAGCCACCAAAGGATTACACATTGCTGGACCTCCCCGCTGAGCTTCATTACACCATCTTTGACCACCTCGACCCTATCGATAGCGTTTGCTTCGGACTCACAAACTCCAACTTTTACGAAATCCACCGACGACTGCACGGAACTGTTCCTCTCTCCAGCCGCTACTCGGGACCCAACGACATGGAATGGGCATGGCGAGGGGCCGGCCCTCTTGTCCATCGCCATGAGCGAAATGACCACAAGGAGGGCCCCATGGAGCAAATGCGCGTCAAGGGACAGGTCTACTGCAGGAAGTGCGGTATCTCCCGTTGCGAGCTGCACCGTCACCTGAAGGAGTGGATGGGCGAAGGCTACGAATACTGCTCCATCAAGGAGGTTTATGGCAAGCCCGCCGGAGAGGACGCCAAGGCTTACTGCTACATGAAGTCACCCAAGAACCCTTCGCGATGCGGACGTCACGGAGGAAAGAAGATTGCATCGAAGTAAAAGATCTAGACCCAAGATGATTCTAGACACGATAGAAGGATACAGAAGAAAGTGATGGAAGGGATGAAAGAGACCATGACGAAATGAGAGCGAAGATCGGGCAACGAAAAAAGAAGGTGTTGAGAGATATCCACGGAGTGCAATGACGCACATACCGTACCTATTTTCCTTTTCGACTGGGTTTAATTAATCCATGTATACATCTACTGGGAACTTTTTTATTTATGAGCGTGGCTAACAGGGGGATTATGGATATCCCAGGGTTTACGGATGGGATCATGATGGAACACATGGGAGGAAAAAGGAGAACTTGCTCCCGGTAATATGACGTAATATGACAATGCCACAACATTCCAAAGAGTTTACTGCCTTTTTTTTCTTACCTTGCACAAACAACGACTGATAACATGTGGATAAAAAGGATGATTGGAAGTTAATGGTTTATAGGCTAAACTGGGCCTGGTAAAAGCTATGATGCAATAACAGAGGGGCCATGCCACGCATGGGGCAACTTGTTGTGGTGTTGGCAACGTCATGGGGTCCTTTGATGAAGAAGAAGCTTATCGGAGTGACAAAACCTACAGTTAGACAAGCCGCTGGGCAACTTTTCGGGACGGATCGTTTAAAAATGTACGTCTTTCCCGCTGAAGATAAAGCTAAAAAGTACTCGAGTGGCACTCGTCAAGTTTGTGATAATGATATGGCGTCACATTTCAACAGGAAACAAGATGAGGTAATCTTTTTTTGTTGTCTTGTACACTGTGTTATGATTCCTCCTCTTCACATCTTTAGAAAAATAAAATCTTGATGCTGATTTATGGTGAATCCCCGAGGTCCTGACGTGTATCATGCTGGTATAACCTCTTCCCCAGTCTGTCTGTACAACGGCAACAACAACAAAAACAAAATCCAACCATCCCTGGCTGTGTGATCCTAAACATGCCACTTGACGGCAAAGACCGCCCATATCCGAAACACCAGAAGAAACATGGAAAAGAAAAGTGTAAAAAAGGACTCGTCCCACAAGATGTCCTCTCTCTATCCTGGTGTACAAGTTACCCAAATAACCGTAAACGCCGTTTTGAAAAAGCAACACTCCCACATCCAAGTCGAAGGAGTGATTATGTAGGAATGTTCGTTATGTACCGTCAGATCAGATCAGGTTTGACTTAGCTGGGAATCTTCCACTTGGGCTCACATTCGCCCTTTGCCGTGATCCAGTCGTTGATGCCCTGGACAAACCAGCCGCTGACAGCCTTGTCCTCGGGTTTGGCCTCCTTGTGAGGCTTGCCCTGCTTGAAGCTCTTTGCGATACAGCAGACGCCCTTGTGGTAGCGCCACTGGAAGCATTTGCGGGCAGCATGGAAATCTTTCTCGCCCCTGCGCTCCTCATATTTCTTCCTGATGAGGGCGGCGCGTAGTCCGTCGTTCTCGAGACCCGTAAACTCCTCATCATTAATGTCGAGTCCATCAGCCTCACAGACCTTGGAGCAGTACTCCTCAGACTGGTGAGCACGTCGCTGCACGGCCGTCTTGTCGGCCTCCTTCCTCTGTCGTCCCTTCTGTCGGTCCGTGGCCTTGGCCTGAGCATCGGGTTCGGGTCCGATGAAACAGGTGTCGTCAGACAAGTTGTCCCACTCTTCCCTCTTATCCTTGAGGTTGGGAGCAAAGAATGTCTCATACATCTCCCTGATTTGGATGGGGCCCTTTGTTACAAGTCAGCGCACGCACTCGATAATTCCTTGGTCAAAACATACCGTCTTCTCTCGTGTCTTCTCATACTGCCACACCGAGCTGACCTCCTCAGGATCCATGTGGTGCATGGTGATCAGGGGCTCACACCAATGATTGTTTCCAAAGGGCAGAGTTACGGGCTTCTCTCCGTTAAACATGGGGTGAGCCTGTCTGACCTTCTTGCCAGTCTCGTTGACAGCGAGCGCCATGAGGTAGTCACCACAGCATTCGTGGGTAGCCATCATGTCGTACTTGTGAGCCAGGTCCGGAATCTCTACCATCTTCCTGACCGTGTCGCCATAGATGACATAGCCGCTGCCTCCGTGAGCAAAGGGTGTACCCTTGAGCATGGCCACACTTCCGACATATGGAGTCTCGGTCGCGTTCACCTTGTTGTTCAGGAACCAGATCAAGTTTGGCCAGAAGATGTAGCTGTCGGCTTCAGCAAACACGTACCACCTCTGATGGGGGCGCATCTGCCAGGCGCGCTCGATCATATGGAGGAACTTGTACTTGTCGAGATCCCAGCCGCCCTTCATATCGGCAGTACAGTACTTCTGAGGAATGGGGCAGCTCTTCTGGGCCTTGTAGAGGTCAAACTCCTTGCGACCCTTTTGAACATCCTCCTTCACATTGTCGAGGACGTCAATGATGTGATGGCTTCCAATTTGTTGCTCCTGCACGGTTGTGTTAGTTATAACTTATCATTCGACAGCAAGGAATGGGCAATCTCACCAAGTCAGAGAAAATCAACACGTCCTTGACACACTGCAGGCTAGTCAAAAGGTGGGCGGGGAGCTTCGAGAAAGCCTCAGTAGCGCCAGTCTTCATGACCAGAGTGATGCCATTCAAATTGGGGAATCCGGCGCAGATATCATTCGGGTTGGGAGGGTTGGAGGGGAACTCGACGGCCGCTGGTTCCGTGGGCTTGTCGCCAGGATTGGGGGTCTCTTGCTTGTCCTTGTTCTCCTCGTTGCCCTTGTTATCGTTGTTCTCGTGGTTGTCATGGTTCTCCTTTTCCTTCTCTTTATCGTTCTCCTTGGCCGGGGTTGGAGCGGGGGGCTTATGGCTCGTCGTCGTAGGCTTGGGGTTGGGGTGGACGATGAATTTGGGCGGTTGGACAGGTTGGACTTCGTCTTCATCTTCGCCGGCACCATCCTCGTTGTTATCGTTGTCTTCCGGGTTGCCCTGGTTCGTCTCGAGCTTCTGACCCTCCTGAATTGGGCCACCTACACCCTGGCCGTTGTTGTTGCCGCCCTCAGCTTGGGGCTTATTGTCGCCGGTCGCATTCTCGCCGCCCTGCGCCTGCTGACCCTCAACCGGCTTGCCGTCGGTGTTTTGAGCCTCCTTGCCATCCTCGCCGATGGCCTGACCTTCATGCGCACCGCCAGGTTGTTGGCCGGTAGATCCGTTCTCGACTCCATTCGGCTTTCCGTTAACCGCCTGTTCGGTCTCGGTTTCGTTGAGGTTTGCGATGAAGCCGTCTTCGACGTCGTAGACGGTGCCTTCGTGCTTGAGATATTTGGACACTTGGTTGTAGACGCCAGGTGAGTCGCTGCTCAGCTGATGGAGGGGCACCACGAGTAGCAGGGTTAGAGCAAAGAGGGTGAGGGAAATCATCCTCCAGCCTCGAGGCGTGCTCCATGAGGAGCCCAGTTTGAGGCCCATGATGGCAAAATTGCAGCCAAAAGACCAAGAACCAAAAAAGAAGAATGGACAAGAATTACAAGAAAAGAAAAATAATACAAGATTGAGTGATGGTGAGGGGACCAAGTGTTGGGGGAAAGGAAAGGAAGCGAAGGATTCAGCAGGGAGGGAAAGCTGAGCGAGCGATACGAACGAATGTGAGGGCTGCCCAGATTCTTCAACCACGAGAGATGGAACTCGGCCAGCGCCAGGATCACGTTTTGTGGACGATCTCTCCCAAGAAAAAGCCTCCTCCGTTCAAGGACGGGCGACGTGTCGATAGGTAAGATACCCACATCAGCTTGCCCCTACTTCCTTGCCCTTAACTCCTTGCGATCGGTACGTCAGTCAGTAATGTAATGTACCTGACTTTTTTTTTCAGCGCGGCGCCGCGCGACACAGACTGTCCCTGGCTTGCAAGAGGCGTCCACAAAGAACGGACGAACCGATAGACAGAGTCTCCGCAGACGGCGTCAAGACGGAAGCTGAGTGGATACTCGCAGGGCTTACGACTCAGGGGTGATGCCGCCGCAACAGATTGAGAGCCCTTTGGCGGCCTTCGAAACCCTTGAACGGTCCCCAGAGGCGAGCAAACTCGGACCACCATCAAGATCCCTCGATACCGACCACCAGCAAGCGCCCGCCCGCCTGCCCGCCGCATTTTCACACTGGGCTGTAATCCATTCCAGTTGTCATCCCATCTTGTCCTGTTCAAGCCTTTGGCTGGCGATTCGATCTGATTCAAGCCATCGTCGTCGTCTAGAGTTTGTTCCTGGAACGCAGGTACACGGAGCTTCTGCAACCAGGCCTGCGCCGGCTTGGAATTCAATCCTCTGTAAACGGCGCAGATGGCTGACCATGTATGCAGTGGCTGACGAGAAGCTTCCCGCATTCCCCAAAACGGCCAAGTTTAACATTGCTGCTTCTGCAGCATCCCATAGTCCTCTCTCCCCCTTTCCTGAACCGACTCGCCGTGTAAGCGGGCGCCCTTCAGAGCAAAGAAAAAAAATCATAGCCCAATTCCAGACTTTAATAGTCTGGGTCGACCTATTGTTTCGTTTGGAGCTGACGGCATCTCTAGCCGTCGATAGTTCCCTCTAGAGTCGAGCGCCAAAAAGCCAAGCATCAGCTCAAGTGGGGGCGGCCCGTGTCTTCTCCTTTCCAGCTGCTGGTGCTCATGGCGATTGGTGGGCTCCGGCCATGACAATCAGCCCTCTCGCAGATATTCCCCATCCCGCGTAGCGAGCGAGCGAGACCGTCATCTCCTCGACTCGACGCGTGGAAACGCCATATCTTTGTCGCACCCCTGAGTCTTGCAGCATCTTCCTGCACCAGATTGTCTTGGCTGACGCTAGGGAGATGCTCATGTCGAACGAGCTAGCCGCTGGCCTGGAGCTCAAGCTAATCACGATAAAACAAAGGTCGTGATATTCGTCAGCACTTTCCTGATCTGCCGTTGCAAAGGAATGCACGTTTCAGACGAGTCTGAAACTCAAAAATCTCCCACAGCCGCTCGTCAATCCGTCACGAACCCTTGTCTTGTCTTGGTTTACCCATCCCACCCATCCATCGCAGGAGGACCTTCAGCCTGGACCCGCTGAGTAAAGTCTGGGCATACGTAGCAAGCTGCCATCTGCCAAGAAGGATGCTTCTTTGACAGACACAACATGGTTTTCTGCTTCCACATCGAGTGTCAGCATAATGCTCAACAGTCACCCGATCTTTGCAGACACGACGAGACTTTGATGCCACATTTCGACCAGTCGATCCGTGCCAGTGCCGGTGTGCCAGTACGTGGCTGGTTTGTATTGTGACGATGACATGCCACGATCCGTGAATACCGCACATGAGTTGTGTAGTGTACCGTGGCCGCCTGGCCGCGTACTCCCGTCATCTATTTGTGATGGGTGCTGATCCTCTGCAAGGGCGAGGTTTGACACTGATCAACGCTGTGATGAGACATTGCGCGCTGCACAAAGTATCCCTTGTTGGGTATGCTTGTAACGACGCATCGACATGTTGCGCGTGGTAATACGACGTTGACGTTGACGTTGGTGATGCCCAATGCCTGTCGATGCTGTGAGATTGTGCAGTCAGAGGTAAAGGTCGCATTTCTTGGGGATGCCATGTGACTCGTAGGAGATGCGAGTGATTGGCGATTGGCGAAGTTTTCATCAATGCATAGAAATCTATATCGCACTCTGGAACATTCGTGGTTGATTGAATCATTTGTTGAGGTTCGGGGAGACGACGAGGGGACAAGGGGAGGATCGACAAGAAAGTGAGTTTAGCGGGCAGATTAAATTTGAACCCCACGCTCCTTCCTTGAAAACCCCCTGCAATGGAAACTGGATCTTTCTGTATCAAGCGTTCATCGCTTTGGCTGCTCCTTCCTCCCCTCAACGCCAGTGGTTGATGTGAAAGATACTTGAATGATAAGAAGCACCGGGACCCTTGAACAAATAAGCAGACACACAGAAACGCAGGGTCCATGACGATGATGCAAGCAAGCCCATCAGCAACTATTGGGGAAGGAACGAGAGGGATTCTGGAACCTCCAAAGGCTGCTTTCTCCAACGCCACGTGCGTGTGAACCCTCCTTCAAACTGCCATTCGCAGGATGGGGAAGGTGCGGGTTGACAGGTACGTACTCTGCCATTTTTGCAGCCATATATCCGTGTTGTACTTGGAGAATCACTCTTGAACTTGCCCATCAACAATTCGTTCAAGGGACTGGAAACAAAGCACATCAAGCCTCTCGCATGCTTCAGCTTGAGCCATCTAGTCATGTCTCTACCAATCCACCAACATCATCATTTGCAGGTCCCGAGATAACCGCTGGCCAGGCCAAGCCTTTCAAGTCTTGGTAGACTCGATCCGCGGAACTTGTCTAACATGCGGCACAAGCTAAGGACGAGGTTTACTCAGCACGGCATTCGATCGCACCGCTTGCGCCATTCCCCCAAGTGGTCCCGAACCGAGTCTGCGTTCTCTGGTTCGTCCATGACTTCTCATTCAAGGGATCATAGACTAGAAACTCGCACAAAAAAACCCCGCCCCCGCCGCGCAAGGAGCAGCAGCGGCAGCAACCCGAGGCACCTCTCGGGGCCCCGTTGCACCGTGAACCAACGGGTCGATGTTTGGCCCGAGCCTTGCGATCAGATTGATACCTGCGAATCGAGTTCATCGTGTTCGGTTGACGGGCGAGGAAGTCAATTACGTCCAAGACCTGAGAAGGACCAATCCAATACCTCCCTTCTTGACTCAACCACCGGTGACAAGAGTGGGATATTTCGGAACTCCGGATAGTCTCGGTCTCCTTATCGCACCCACTTGATTCCGCGACCATGACCAGATCGGGCTGCTGGATTCGGTCGCAATCGATGGCACAACCAATTGGACAGGGATATGCCGCCATCTTTCCCCCAGATCTCGGATTCCAAACGTAAGCTGTCCATGACTCTGGCAAGGATCGGGCTGCACCTTAAAGACGACGCCCGCCTTTCAATCTTATTCATATATGGTCCTCTTCGCCGGAGCCCGTGCAGTCCATTTCATTGCTGGTACTCCGCCAAGTCGTCAGGTCTTTGGTGGCATCGGATTTGATTCCCGAGACCATTGCGGCTTTCTCTACACTGCAACACAAGTTTTGTGGCTGCAGCCTGCAACGACGGAACCAGCTGCTCAAGCACGAGAAGCCGATAATCGGGAGCTACAGTATACTTACCAGCCAACTCGAATCGTCAGCCAAACAGTTTGAAGCGTCTAGCGGTCATCCCGAAAACGGTGCAGGTGCACAAGTTTTGACTTTTTGCTGCTAGCCGCCACCGTGAAACCCTCGAAAAACCACTTGCATCTGCGCCTCAGGAACTCCAACAATATGGCAGGCTTGCCACAATCCGGTCATGGGCCAGTACAGACGAGTGCGGTGGTTGTACTCGGAGCATCTCAATGCCCTGCGATACCCCCTCCCTCACCTCCAACGCCATCTGCTTCGCCGCCAGGCAACACCTTCTGCGAACCTATCGATCCATTGAGCCTGGACCGAGAACTTCGGGGAGAATGCCAACTCAGGAACCAGCGACTGCTGGACGGGATCCACGTGCTAAACACAGAAGCTTTGGCATTGAGAAGTCTCACACGGCTCTACGAGACAGACTCAGTTGCTCGCGATGGATTCACTCAATCAGTGGAGGCCATAACCCGACTGCAAGAGACAACAGGGAAGCTTATCATCGTCGGTGTCGGCAAGTCAGGGCACATAGGCCAGAAACTGGTCGCGACCTTCAAGAGTCTCGCCATACAAGCTGTCTTTCTTCATCCGACGGAAGCCCTGCATGGAGATCTAGGCATCATTGGACCTAATGACACCCTCATGTTCATCACGTACTCAGGCAAGACGCAAGAGCTCCTCATCATGCTGCCTCATCTGGACGAATCCCTTCCGGTTATTCTTCTCACATCTCATACTTCCCATGAGACATGCGAATTCATCAAGCATCGCCCTGACACGATCCTCCTTCCGGCTCCGATCCCTGAGCCAGAGAAGACCTCGTTCGGTGTCTCAGCGCCCACCACGTCCACAACCGTTGCGCTCGCACTCGGCGATGCGCTTGCGGTAGCAGCTTCTAAGGAAATGCATGCGAGTGTGGCATCCGTCTTTGCGAGAAACCACCCAGGGGGTGCCATCGGTGCTGCCGCTCGACAGCCTCGAACTATCAAGGACATCTCTATCAGCTGGTGTGATATACCTGCAGCACCTGAATTGGGCGACGAAAGTGCTGGAGTTGACCTACTCCGTGCTGGTTTCGACTCTCCAACCGGATGGGTGAGGGTTCAGGATCGGATTGCCTCGCCCAGTACAATACGGGGCATCGACAAGCATGATCTCAGCAAGAGTCTTGGAGAGCTCCCTGACGCACTTGTGTCCAAGATATCAATGCTCTCACTCTACTCGGACACAACTATTCGACAGGCACAGG